ATGTGTGTTTCAGTATGGTTTTCTGTGTGTGAGTCTGTGTCAGTACGTCTGTCAGAATGTGTCTCTGTATCTGTATGTTGTCCATTTGTATTTGTGTGTGTATCTGTATGTGTCAGTGTTTGTATCTGTATATCTGCATGTGTGTCAGGTTGTGTATCTGTGTGTCTGTCTGTCAGTGTGTGTGTCGGTGTATCTATAAGTAGTCAGTGTGTGTACCTTTGTATCTGCATGTATGTCAGTGTTTGTATCTGTGTGTGTGTCTATGTGTGTGTCAGTGTATCTATATGTAGTCTGTGTGTATCTGTATGTTCTTGTGTGTATCTATATGTGGTCAGTGTGTATCTATATGTGGTCAGTGTGTATCTGCATGTGTGTCAGGTAGTGTATTTGTGTGTATCTAGACGTAGTCAGGGGGCCCAAGTAAATGCTCGCCCAGGGTCCAATCTAAATTAAAGACGGCCCTGATTGAAGTTAGTATGTGTCTGAGGTTTTTAACTCCTCTAAACACTATTTTGGTTTCATTTTCTATAAAATTGTATAATTTCTTGATCTTGTTGTAAGTTGTGCAAATTTTTGTTCAGGATTTTTAAGTTTTTTTTATGTTCTTTACTATATGAAAAATGTAACGAATTGTTTTCATTTTCTTAGTTTTCATTTTTAGATTTATAAATAAGTAAAGAGAAGTATAAACAGAATATGTACAATATATAAACACGAAAGCAGAAAATGTCCAGGCACCCTACCAAAGGTGTACCTCACAAACACTTGCAAATAGAATATATGTGAAGTGAAAACAAATAGTTATGCGCCGGTCTCCCCTCAGGGGTATCTGTTAGTGATGGAAATCTTTCCAGCAAGATGGACCCTCAAAAGGACAAGAAAGTGCAGATAGTGTAATATTGTATAAAAATACAACAATTTATTTTCAAGGTTGCACTTACATCAAAGGTAAAAACAGCAGGCTTGTCTCCACTAACCAGTGGATCAAAATGAAGAATCCTCCAGTCTTGCGAGATATAGTAGTTGTTCATATTGGCCCAAAATACAAGTAAAATACAAATAAGATACAAACAAAAATGTCAATGCTTTCCTATGGGGATTCCGGTGACACTGGAGGTCCTCATGCATTGCGTGAGGATGTCCAGCGTCGTTTAGATGACCAAAAGTTGTCTAAGAACCCGGAAGTCCCTCTAGTAACTTAACCTTGCAAGGTAATTATTGCAGTTTATAAAAACTGCCACAATTACATGCTCAGGGTTAAGGTGATGGGAGTTGGCACCCAGACCACTTCAATGAACTGAAGTGGTCTGGGTGCCTACAGTATCCCTTTAATACTGTTAGTCTATGGCAAGGCAATATGCAGGACTAGATGATAGGAAGGGCTGAGAAGGGATCTGCAAAGGAGCACACCTGATTCCAGTCCTATTACCCTGATGGAAGCTTATAGAATCAAATAATTTGCGTAAAGTGCCTTATGCTTTCAAAGTACGAAAAAACCATAAAATAACTTTATTCTTCTAACTGGGTACACTCATCTAGAATGTAAAAATAAAACATTGTGAATAATAAGTGCTAAAAAGAAAAATTAATCAAATCAAAATATCAACTGATTAAAAATAGGACCAACTACTAAAGCTTATTAGTATAGGTTGTGATATTCCTGATACAAAGTTGCCAAAAAAAAAAAAATACTGATCTAGACTGAATATAGATCAAGTATCCTCAGAGGGATATACAATATGTATTACATGAGGATACTTGATCTATGTTCAGTCTAGATTATGTGGGGATATTTATGGGATAATAATAGTAACAGTGAGAATTGCCCACTAATTCAATTCTCAGATCCCAAAGAACGTTTATCGTGTTAAGTGTAATGTATTTCATATAATTAATATCACCATGTATAAAAATAGATTTTTATTTATATGACAAATTAATTAATAATAATATTATGCAACATGCATGACAATAATCAATGAATATCCAGTATAAAATGATATGCAATACAAAGAAATGGGAATTACGTTTCAATGGCTAAACTAGCATTTTCTGTCAAGAATTCTGACGATTTATGAGGTATCCTTAACACAGACTTAAGTGAAACTTTTCACAGCGAAGAACAGAATTCCTCAGAGTGCAGCGTAAGGTCGTAAAGTTTAGCAGACAGTTAGAATAACCCTTTCAATGCTGGCTAGATCTCCTAGGTAGTTAAGATCTATTCTTATGTATTTTAAATAAAATAACATTTAACCCAGTTCATTAGTCATTTTCTTAAAATCATCCAATAAGAGAATTTACCACATTATATAAGCAGATTTTTAATTTGCCTAAAAGATATCTATCTTAATTTAGAGCAAATCAATACACCTGGATAAAAACAGCGGTATGCTAACACGTGATAATATCACATCAATATATAATTATTCTTAATTCCACCTGCAGAATGGAATGTTTATAACTATATATTCTTAGTTAACTAAGATTTCTTAATATGGAAATCTGACCGTGCTTTATCCAGTCATATATAATGCTATTAATATATTTTAATTTAATTTAATTAAATGAAACCAGTATAATTACCAGTTGAGTAGATATTTCATCCGATTGGTAGTCTCAGGAACTTATTTGGATGTCTCTCTCTGCATGGAGGTTGGAGTCCCCAACTTCCAATTCCTCTCTCCTCTTTTTCTTTGCATATCTCTTGGATCTGCCTCCTATCGTATCTCTATCTTCCCTTTGTCTTAACTTTTAAAGGGCCAGACTCTCTGTACGTCATTAGTTGATAACCCAATAGAAGCACTAGAGGTGTGGTTATCTTCCAGATCGCAAATTAGTTATTTGGTCTATAGAGGGCAGTCTTGTCCCACTAAACATACCTATCCAGGAAAGAGTTAACTTTTCCTGGTGGCTATTTTGACGTCATTTTGGCCTATCTTTATGGTGGTCATAATTCAGATTTCAAAGGGTTTCTTAAATTTTGTCCAGACTTAGCGTCTGCAATTCCTGCCATAATTTCTGATATGGCAGATCATGAACTAAGTTTACCCTTTTCCATACAATGGTACCTTATATATATAGACAGTTAAATATTAAATTATTTAATCTTCTCTGTCACAATTGTCTGGGTTTAGATTTGATTATATTCTTCTTATCACTTGTTTATACTATGCATTCCTTAGCTCTGGCAAAGAGGCCAGTCTTACAGAAAGAATTTTTGTGTCTTTTTGTTAATTTGAAAATAACAAAATGGAGTCTGATCTGTTCAGAGTGACTCAGAATATACACTTTTAGTTTCTATCATAGCACAAAATGTCTGCCGATATAAATACCCTGACAATTAGTATCTTTTTTTTTGTGGCAACTTTGTATCAGGAATATCACAACCTGTATTAATAAGCTTTAGTAGTTGGTCCTATTTTTAATCAGTTTATATTTTTTCTTTTTTGCACTTATTCACAACGTTTTATTTTTACGTTCTAGACGTGTGTACCCAGTTAGGGGAATAAAATTATTTATGTATTTATTTATTTTTTAAAGTTATTTATTTTATGGTTTTTTTGTGCTTTGAAAGAATAAGGCACTTTACGCCAATTATTTGATTCTATAAGCTTTCATCGGGTTAATAGGACTGGAATCAGGTGTGCTCCTTTGCAGATCCCGTCTCAGCCTCTGGGTTTGGCCCTTCTTTACCCTACAACCATTATAACTTTGGTGAAAGCTTCTCTTTCCCCAACGCTGTACATTCTAATATGCAGGACTATCTTCCAGGGCAGGGGTAGGCAACCTTTTAGTAGTATTGTACCAAAACAAGATCTTTATGTCCCTTGGCATGCAAGTCCTATTTATTTAAATTGGGGTGTGTATGTTGCCGTATTGTGCTTGTGGTATCAGAAATCTTGTTATAGAGTAGAATAAGCACGTCTGAAAATTGTGCATGAAATTTAACCAATGTTCCGGTCAGTTGACTATAACATAACCATAGCGTCTTTTGTGGTTTTTTTTTGCATATGCCTTATCATGAGAGTTTTGTGTCATGTGTATGTTATTTCCTCTGAGTAATCACAATAAAATTGCTATTTAACTGAAAATCGGGCCTTGTTTCAAAAACTAGTTTGCGACCTTAGCAGAGACTAACTATTGAGTTTTTGCCAGTTCTCAGTGTTTTCATATTCACTATTTTTACTTCACTTTTTCCAAAATGCCTCAACATCTTTACGTGATTGCTTGCTCAGCAATGTCTCAATCCAGCTATAAAGAGGAGGAGGTAACTGCAGTACTAACTTAGAAAAGGGGGATTATTCTGTTTATTCTTATAATAGAAAAGACATAACCACTAACCATGGTAGATACAAGATGGTTTTGTGTTTTTATATGTAGTTATCATTAGCCATTACATTTTTTATTACAACAAAATGGAGGCCCCCCTCCATTTTGTTGTAATAAAAAACGTAATGGCTAATGATATCTATATATAACAATAAAAATGTTGAGAAAAAAAAACCTAGGTTAGTGGTTATGTATATTCTATTATAAGAATAAACAGAATAATCCCCTTTTTCATCCATTCCTTTCACAAATTGGAGCCTGACAGAGTTATTCAATTAAGTGTGAAATGTCTGAAATAGAATTTAAACTGAATTTCACATTTTAGGCCTTAATAACCAAATTAAAATAAATAAAATAAAAAAATGAAAAATCTCCCGGTCAGTGATGCTTTTAGTTTAACTATTGTGAACTAAAATTTCAAATGCACTTTGAAATCCCTACAGTTCAAACTTTAGTGAATTCGTAGTGTTATTATATTAGGCTTGAAGTTCCTTTCACGTCATTCTGCAAGAGGAGGGACAGATGTATTGTCTATGTCAGCTATTCCTAGATAATCAAGAGGTGCATTCTTGCCACAGCATTTTATTAAGCTCTCAGGTGTCCTGTTACCTACGCGATCAGGTATCATTGTGTCTGGTGAATTATTAATCTTCTCTTCTCTTAAACTTACCCTGTGATCAACGTCCAAACTCCATTGGAAGCTGTACCGCTTTTTCTTACCGGCCCCGGGAGTGAAGACATGTCTCGAGAAATGGAATCTATTTATACATCCACAATTGGAAGTTATAAGGTGAGCCCCTTCCCCTGTACACTACTATGTCTGTATAGATATTGTCATTTAAACGTCTTGTCTATGATTATCCATACCCCCCAGTACTGATGTGCTTATAGTAAAATATAGGGCATGATGAATAACTGAGTTTAGTTTCCTTGTAGACAAAGATCTACACAATTATAAATGATTTGGACTTTATATCAAAGTACTGCCACAAAGCTTTATTTGATCAAAACATTGTTTTTCTTTTGCAGAAAATTTTAGGACAGTTTAACCCAGCACTGGAAAATTTGGTATTTCTTGGTAACAATTATTTGCGGGCACTAAATGGTAAGTCCCCCCTTTTTTATCTCCTGTGCTTCAGTCTACATTTCCTGTGAAATTTATGTTTGGCCTGGTATCCCAGACATCTGTCAGTGACTCGAGATGTCTGGCAAGTGAAATGGTTATAAATCACGTTTTTACCATAGAAATGGAAGAAATTACAAAAATGATTTCTTAAACCAGATAGCATAGTACCACTAACTGCATGAAATATACCACATCATGACTTTCCAATACTTTCTGGTTAACAGTCCCCATTTTGCTCAGTGGAGCCATCTGTTTGGAATTAAGTTTTATATAAGTGATGGATGTTGAGCTGAACCATTCTACCTCAAAATGGTTTCTGATGGCTCCTTGGCAAGGGTGCAGGAAATGACCTTGTGTGATGTATGGCCTATGTAGATAACACATATATGGATACATTTTGGCATGTAAAAGTAATACAAATTAAGGTGTTCATGCAAAAGAACAACTAGATTTATCAAAAGCCACAATTGGGGTAAGCTGTGTCATTATATTGTCTACAGAGCTGATGTGTTACAGAGGGAGAGACTTTACAAATTAAAGGATTTATATATCAAATAGTGAGTTGCTAGTGTGTTGACTGGTTTACAAAAACAGACAAAAAAAAAAAAAGCTGTTGAGGTATAAATCTGCAGCTTGACTGAGTTTAGTAAAGGGAAAAAAAACTCCATTTAAAGTTGGAGATTTATTAAAGTTGTTTTGGTCTAAAATGTGCAATTTCTTAAATATGTAAGTCTCAACATTATCTGGCAAATCCAGGTTTGCAGAATATGGGTGTTGATGTTTATGTTAATGAATGAAAGCTCCACACTCCTCGGCCTGGCAATGCTCCGATCTTACTGCAGTGTAAGGGTGTTATTGGGTTTATTCATGTACCAGCCCATGGGAGCTATGAAACCAGGACAGGTGAGGGAGGGCATGTGGAGTCATTCCTAAATAGACAGGTACACATGAAAAAGGAGATGTGCTGCACATGCTTGGAGCACTTTGTAAGCACTCTGGGAATGGGCTTAATGCCCTGAGTTTAATGGTATACCATGAGATGCAGCTCACCATGGAACTAACCTGGACAGCAGTACAGTGATGATTATTGTTGTGAGGCGGTGTGATCCACTCATGCACTTCTTCATGCAGATATTCTGAGCCATTAGAACAGAGCAGGTGTAGGCAACCTTCAGCACTCCAGATATTGTGACTACATTTCGAATAATGCTCTTACAAATATAATGCAGGCAAAGCATCAGGGTAGATGCAGTCCACAAGATCTGGGGCGCTGAAGGTTCCCTACAGCTAAAATAGAGGGACAGAAGGTCTTTCCATCCCTAAAAATGTATTTCAATCCATAAGAGGAAATCTGAGAGAGACTGATATAGCTGTGCAGGATGTTGCATGCAACCCCTAGGTCTAGCATGATAATTGGGATTTTGTATGGGCAGTGAATGACACAAGCAGGGTTATATTCTAGAGTGAGAATTTTAAAGTGAATCTCAAATTTAAGGTCAGAATTGATGGCCTGGAAAATTTTTCGAAGTCTGTTATGGTTTCAGGTCAGCAACTGTCTGCTTAACCCCTTAAGGACACGTGACATGTGTGACATGTCACGATTCCCTTTTATTCCAGAAGTTTGGTCCTTAATGGGGTTAAATTTAAAATTCTCTTTCTATTCACTTTCCATTCTCACTTTCGTAAATAGACCCAGAGGTGTGTGATATTGGAATGTTAAGTACATTGAATGAATCCTGGTTTCTCTCCTCTATCTCTAGCACTGACTGACGTTGCGGAAACTTACTATAATGCTATTAAGAAGATTGGGGAGCAGGCTCTCCAGAATGCCACCTGCCAAGGCCTTGGTGAGTGTGTATTAGGAAGCTATGTCAAACAAGTGGATACTGCGGAAATCATGGGAAGCACATTTTGAACTGGTGTAGTCAGGTTTTTTTTTGTTTGTTTTTTTAATTCTTTATTTTCATTGACAGAGGTTACATGCGAAAGTGAACACCTTGCAGATCACTACATGTATGGCATATAACAGAATGTTTAACATATACCACTTGTCAACATTTATTTTTGTTTTTAACAAAGAAAATAACAGCAATTCTTATAATCTGGTCAATATAAACATAAAATTAAAACATCGTAGGTGTGATTCCCACTGGCTGATATGCCCCCATCAAACTTCATTTGATTTGTGTCATACGCTAACTGCCATAGAGAATTTGGGATTCCTCATCTCTTTTTCTACCTTTGGGGACACTTTTGCTCCATATATTTCCATTTACGGGTTCTTTTTTTTTTTTTTAATTCTTTATTTTTACTCAGCACACATAACAAGTTAACATCGACTTTTGGGCTTATGCATAAGCCAACTTAACAATATTTGGAAACATAATGCAGATTGACAAATACAATATATGCCCTTTCCTTAAAAAAAAAAACCATCGGCACTTGCCGTCTACTGAGGATTTTATATTTTTATATTCTATTACAAACTTTATATTCACATAAACATATCCTATGCCCATTCCCTTTTTGGGCTGACAAAGAAGTTGATTAAGTTACAATTCCTTTGGTATTATTGAAAAAACTCTAAAATTGCTGTATCATTGACAACTGCCGGTTATGTAGATATCTTAAATTCTGTAATCTCCGTAACCGTATCAGGTATTTAATTACTGCTGGGCTTATGTATAAGCCAAAAAACTTCTGTTCCAGATAAGTGCAATAAAATATTGTTCAACTTTATCATTGCGAGACCAATTCTTATTGTAAGTTTGGCACTTGCCAACTATGAAGAGGATATATGTGTAACAAAAAATAGGTAGATAAACATTTCAATTAACTATTAGATGTGCTAATCGTTATCGTATCTTTGCTACATTATTCCTCCTACCGTATGACCTAGCCTGGAAAAAATAAAAATATAATAACGGAGAAAAAGGAAAGGAAAGAGAAGATGTAACAAAGATATATAGTAAGAAGAGTTCAGTGAATTAGAGGGAAATTTAGAAAAGGGGAGGGGAGGGGGGAACAGGGGAAGCAAAGGGGGTGGCAAAACAGCTACCCTGCCGGCACAGGAGTCCCCGCTAGCGAAGATGTTTTACCTTATGATTTGTACTTGGGCGGGGGAGGGCCCTCATTCTCCTCTCAAGCCAACTACACTATTGTCCCATGGTTCCCAGGTTTTATGAAATGTCGTAATGTTTCCTCTCACCCTCGCCATTAGGTCATCCATTACTCTACATTCTTTGATTCTAGATATAACCCCTGTGAATTCTGGGCCCTCTAGTGTAAGCCATGCTGACGCTATTGCTCGGCGCGCACACAAAGTGATTTTGTGTACTAATTTCTGCTCCCGTTTGGTCCATCCATCAATTGATCTATTCAACAAATATATCCACGGGTCCATTTTCAGAGGTCTATCAAACGTCTGTCTCAACAGGTCCTCCACCGACTTAGCCTCAAGCACTCCCACCACATGTGTATGTAAGTCCCTCGCGCTCCACATCCTCTCCAGCATTCATCTGTCTCCCGTTTGTGCATTCTATGAAGTTTGACTGGGGTAGTCATTTACGGGTTCTAATGAGTGATGTCTATGTTTCTGTGAGCCCTCGGCCTCCCTGGGGGGTGCTTCCACTCTACCTACAGTTTGTCACACCTATTTTGTGTACCAGTACCCAAATGGTTCCTCCCCCTGAAGCCTCAGGGGGGTTCACGCTATTCAACTTGAAAAAGAACAGAAAGAAAGATCGAAAATAAAAACAGAAGAGAAAATAATAGTGGTGGTGGTCTAGGGAGCTGGCAGGGTTTTATAGCTCTGTGTACTGTATAGTGGGAAAGGGGTCACCGGGTCTCCTTAACACAGGGGGCTATCCTCCCATAATGCTCATATTTTCTGAAATGTTTTTTGGTTTCCCCTGACTCTTGCTGTAAGTAGTCATGTTTTTCATTGTGTGCACTGTATTAAAAGAGCACTCCAGTGGTTATGGTGCTAGGAAAGCAGAGGTGGCTGTAGACTTTGCAAGTCCTTATGTTGAAACTTCAACATGAGACTCCACTGACACCCATAATGGCAAAGAAATGCAAGTGATAATACAATTAACCGTCCAGGGTCCCTGGTGTCTATTTGTGGGTATTCCTTCCTGATATAACTCTGTGTTAGACAATTTCCAGCCACCAGGTGCTGACTTATCACTCAACACCCGCTATCTTGACTGTCAGTACACCCTGCATGGCTGCCATCCTAACACTTATGGACCCTTACAAACATAGTTGCTGAACCCCTACCAACTCACACATACTCACACACGCTTCCAGACATTTAGTTACACACTCACACACACGAATATACATTCCAGACAGACATACACTCAAATAGTGATTCTCTAAGCCAGACACACTGACAAACATACACACATGCTTCATGCACTGCCAGACACACAAACACTAACAGACTTACACAGAATGCACACATTAACAGATACACACAGACAGACAATACACAAACAACGACAGAGACACATTTTGAATTGTTTTAAATCTTTTTTTATTGTTTTCATATTAACACAAAAAAAGTTACCATCTATATACAAATACAAAGACAGAAAGTTATCACATATAAAGGATTAAGTGTCTGAAAATACAAGACACATAAAAGAGTTCAGACAAACAAAAAATATCAAGCGTATCATTAAAGGGACACTATAGTCACCAGAACAACTACAACTTAATGTGGTTGTTCTGGGGAGTATAATCATTATATGCAGGCATTCCCATGCAAACACTGTCTTTTCAGTGAAAAAGCAGTGTTTACATCCCCCCTAGAGACACCTCCAAGTGGCCACTCCTCAGATGTCCACTGTTGGTGCTTCCTGAGGCAGTGCTGCACAGTAGGCAGCACTGCTGTTCAGCGTCCCCAAGCTCTGCATGGGACAATGAATTTTACTCATAGAGATGCATTGATTCAAAATGGCGTTTGGCCTGTCCCCATTCTATGTCCTTGGTGATTTTAGCCAATCCAATGCTTTCCCTGTGGGAAAGCATTGGATTGGCTAAAAATGGCAATTCTGATTGTCACCAAGGGGTTGGATCGGCGGCAGGGCCTGCGCCGGTGGACCCGCGGGGTGCTGGAAATAAGGTGAGTTTTAATTCCTTTTAAGGTGGGTGAGTGGGGCAAGCCGCCTAAATGGTGGGTTTAACACTATAGGGTCAGGAATACATGTTTGGGTTCCTGACCATATAGCTTTCCTTTAAGTAAGAAAACAAATATGTGCAAATAAAATCTAAGAATCCAGGTCAGGGATCTCCTTATCAGTCAGGTTAGATGTGGAATGCTAATGCCAAGGGAGTAAAGGAAAAAAGGGTGTTCGATTGTGAGAAGAAAAAAACAAAAACAAAACAAAAACCTTACACTAGGTGTGGACAATTTAAAGTCTTAATCCAGTTATCCCACATTTTACGAATTAACACAGAAATCTGATGCAATACCAGATTCCATTTTGCACTGTCATTTAATAGATTCTTTAATCTGAGGCCAATCTGAGGAGACTTTAAAGGTCATCAGAGCATGAATCAATAACCATTTCTTGTCTTTTAATAATTGGGGTAGCCTTAGATGTAACAAATATGTTTTCCTGGCACTATAGTTTCACTTTACTGGTTTGATGAGTGGCCCAGCTGCCCTGGAAGCCTCTGCTTACAGGCAAGGTCTCCCTCTCTCCCCTTAGCTCCATCACACTCACCCAGGGATGCCATCAGAAATTTTGGGGCCCCCGACAAAGCACAAGGTCTGGGGCCCCCCCTCCCGGGACCGCCCACGCCCTACCTAGTCTGCTGACAATGATGCAGGACTGAATGTGGTGTGTATAGTGGAAGTGAATTAGAATGTGTGTAATGGATGTAGTGTTTGTGTTTATTAGATCCTGTTTGTGTAGTGAATGCAGAGTGTGTGTTTGTGTAGAGGATGCAGTGTGTATAGTGAATGCAGAGTGTGTTTGAGTAGTGGATGTAGTGTGTGTTTGTGTAGTGGATGTAGTGTTTGTATGTACTAGATGAAATGTGTTTAGTGGACGCAGTGTCTGTGTATAGTGAATGCAGAGTGTTTCAATTTGTGGTGGATATAGTGTGTGTACTGTGAATACAGGATGTTTGTGTAGTGGATGCTGTGTGTACAGTTAGTGCAGAGTGTATGTTAGTGTAGTGAATGCAGAGTGTGTGTCAGTATAGTGAATCCAGAGTGTGTGCGCATAGTTTAGTGAATGCAGAGTGTGTGTTAGTGTGTAGTGAATGCAGTGTGTCAGTGTAATGAATGTAGTGTGTGTTAGTGCAGTTAATGCAGAGTGTGTGTAAATGTGTAGTGAATGCAGAGTGTGTGTAAATGTGTAGTGAATGCAGAGAGTGTGTTAGTGTGTAGCGGATGCAGAGTGTGTGTGTTAGTGTAGTGAATGCAGAGTGTGTTAATGTGTAGTGAATGCAGAGAGTGTGTTAGTGTGCAGCGGATGCAGAGAGTGTGTTAGTGTAGTGAATGCAGAGAGTGTGTTAGTGTGTTAGTGTGTAGCGGATGCAGAGTGTGTGTTAGTGTGTAGCGGATGCAGAGTGTGTGTTAGTGTAGTGAATGCAGAGTGTGTGTTAGTGTGTAGTGTATGCGATGTGTGTATTGTATTAGTGTATGCAGAGTGTGTTGTATTAGTGTATGCAGAGTGTGTGTTGTATTAGTGTATGCAGAGTGTGTGTTGTATTAGTGTATGCAGTGTGTTGTGTTAGTGTATGCAGTGTGTGTTGTGTTAGTGTATGCAGTGTGTGTGTTGTGTTAGTGTATGCAGAGTGTGTGTAGTTAGTGTATATTAAATTAATTAAATGTTATTCCCCCCTCCCTGTTTCTTACCTGTGTCCTGGGAGGGGGGAGATTCCATCCCTGGTGGCATGGGAAGCCCCCGGCTCCCTGGTCTCGCAGAGGGGGCCCAGGCAGCACACAGCTTCTACTCTCCTCTCTTCTCATAACTCTCGCGCGGAGCGTTGCCATGGTAACCTGGTCTCGTGAGAGTTATGAGAAGAGAGTAGAAGCTGTGTGCTGCCTGGGCCCCTTCTGCGGTAACAGGGAGCTGGGGGCTCGCGGCTGCACACATAGATAGCGATATTCGCTATCTATGTGTGCAGAGAGGGAAAGTGCGGCCCGGGACTGATTGATTGCTTCTGTGGACAGGTGTCTTTAATACAGGTAACGAACTGAGTTTAGGAGCCCTCCCTTTAAGAGAGTGCTCCTAATCTTGTGTCATTACCTCTATAAAAGACACCTGGGAGCCAGAGATCTTGCTGATTGATAGGGGACCAAATACTTATTTCACTCATTGACATGTAAATCAATTTATAACTTTTTTGACATGTATGGTTGTGGATTTATTTTTTGTTATTCTGTCTCTCACTGTTAAAATACACGTACAATTAAAATTATAGACTGATCATTTCTTGAGCTCATTTGCATATGCATACCCAGATACCCCTTGCAGTAGTGAGAGACTTATGGCTTGACTGGTGTGTGTATATGTGTTTAGCAATGTATTATATATATATATATGATGAAAGTCCACAAGATGGACTCAAACGTTGATCTGTTTTAGAAGCTGGAATAAAAGTTATATTTTAATGGAATTCCGAGAGTGCAACCAACTATTTACATATATATATAGTTGGTTGCACTCTCGGAATTCCATTAAAATATAACTTTTATTCCAGCTTCTAAAACAGATCAACGTTTCAGTCCATCTTGTGGACTTTCATCAGTTGATCTGTTTTAGAAGCTGGAATAAAAGTTATATTTTAATTGAATTCCGAGAGTGCAACCAACTATTGTTCTATTTGGATATTTAAGCCCTGGTACTGCACCCGGTGTGGCAAATTTTGGAGCCTGAGTGCAAGGTACAGTCTACCTTTTATATATTTATATATATATATATATATATATATATATATATATATATATATATGTCAGTGGATAAAGTTGGCTGCACTCCGGTCTTTAAAATGTAAATATTTATTGAATCAACAAAAATAAAGTTTTGGTCCCTACTGGGACTTTCTTCATTGTCAAAACATACAATCATATACATATATGCTGTGAGTTTACAGGATGGTCGGCTAGCATACAGAGTTTTGGGGCTCACAGGTGGAAGTGGAGTAAGACATCTATTAGCGGAGTACAACAAAAGTGAGGCAGCAAATTGTGCAGAACCTTTTCTATCCCAGTATTGTGAGGATTTGTTGTACATGGGCTGGAGGCCCACAATCTCAATGCTTTACAGGCCGGTTCTGGACACTGGCCGCTGCGATATTTTCTAAGAAAGTGCAGTTTCTGAGGTCAAAAAGACTGACAAGCCTAGTTTAGTATGTGGAGGTGTTTGCAAGTGGATGTGGTCTGACATGAAACATTGGTGTCAATCGAATCACTGGAAACAAAGTCCAACAATTAGGGTTGCACAGGTTAGTTTGAATGATTCTTCATGCTGTTCTGATAAAAAGGAGGACGTTAGAGAGATATAAAATCTCACACCTTGCAAATCCAGCAGCGTCCATCTGTCAAGCACATATATTTCAATCTCCGTGTGAAGTGGACCAGCAACATAAATATGTGAGGTTCATGTTCAAAAAAAGGCCTACTACTTACCCCAACCCCTCCCCTCATGCATGGATTTTTACATTGGAATTCCACCATTACTACAGTGCAAGATTCTACACACCAGCAACACCTTCTAAACTGAACAGTGAGTTGCGTTGAACTGACAAATGAGTTGCATGATTTAGGCCAAAGTAGCTGATTTGCTGATGTCTATTTTGAACTTTGTCCTCTGTTCACTTGTAAACTCTGCACAGCCCATGATTTAGTTAATAAACTATACTTTATGTGGCAGATACTGGAGTTTGTAAAACACCAAGTTAATTGTACCTGCAACATTTATGTGAATTTTTACATTTAATGCATTCTTTGAACAGCCGCAGTATGTTTTAACAGGTTTTCTGTGTTTGTGGTTCATTGGGATCATAGTTGTCAGTCATAATTTTTAAAAAAAAAATGTTTTTTTTAAAGCTGCTTGCCTGAAACAAAGGATATAAAATTATTTATGACGGTTTTTGTAAACTTTTTAATGCAATTCATTATTGTATAGTGCCAGGAAAACAAACTCCCCCTACCCTCAGGGTCCCACTCCCGCTGGGCTGAAGGGGGAGGAAGGGGTTAAACACTCGCCTTTCTCCTCCTCCTTCGGTCGTCATCGGCTGAATGTGCATGCGCGGCAAGAGCCGCACGCGCATTCAGCCAGTCCATAGGAAAGCATTCTCAATGCTTTCCTATGGACGCTGGCGTCTTGTCACTGTGAAAATCACAGTGAGAAGCGTGGAAGCGCCTCTAGCGGCTGTCAATGAGACAGCTACTAGAGGCTGGATTAACCCATATGTAAACATAGCAGTTTCTCTGAAACTATGTTTACAGCAGGCAGGGTTAATCCTAAATGGACCTGGCACCCAGACCACTTCATTAAGCTGAAGTGGTCTGGGTGTCTATAGTAGTCCTTTAACATGTACATTGGAAGCTGTAATTTGTCTAACTAGGTCCCTTCTAAATGTTAGAATCTTAAATCCTTTAATTTAGAATCCCTTAAAGTCCGCTGGAAAGTAATGGTCTATCGATGGTGCTAGGAAATAATGCAGTTTTTTTATGGTGCTTATCTTACAAATTTTTTTTTTTACTCCAAGCACCATAACCTCCACAGACTACTATAGTGCTTCCAGTTCTCAAAGTGCCCTAACAGTCTTCCAGAGTATGTTGTCAAAACATTAAGAGTGTTTGATAACTCACTGACAACTGGGTCCCATTGGGCACACCTTGCCAACTCCCCTTCTTCCAGAAACTTTTGCCACGAGCTAGGCCTAACTATGTGGGCCACGCTCATTGGCTGAGAGTAATCCACTGACAATCTCAGCCAATGACCATGGCCATGCATAGCCAGGTTTAGCTCAGTGGAGCTAACTGGAGTTTTCTTGCATGACAACTGGATGGACCCAAGTGAGTTGTCAAAGACTGTTTAAACTGTTTTGCTGGGAGGGAACCAGGGCACTCCTGGCGCCATAACTACTGCACTGGACTTTAGTGAATATGGAGCAGGGAGTTTATCCTAGTGATTTTATATATTGTTTTATGCAATAATCTCCTCAGGTAAGTTCAATAACTCTCCATATTTCTTAATGCCTAACCGTAACAGTGAGGTCAAATATATTGATAATTTGGGGAGGCTGATATGTTAGTTAGAAATGGATAAAGAATATGTGATCAAAATTGAGGAAATAAAAAAAAAGCAAATGTAAAAAATCATTGCTAGCAACTGAAAGTCAAAATGAGTTTTTGTGGCCCTAAAAATAAAAACAGAACCTCCCAGCCCTCAAAGGTTGGCAGATATATAATGTCATGTAGTTAGTATATGTTAATATAATGTACGTTAAGCAGCTCCATTGCTTTCTCTGGGAGAAGTGGGACATTTTTTTTAACATTTCAAAGATTTCTAATATCCTATAAGTGTGCAGGAAGATGACTATCTGTCAATGGTGTCTGTGAAGGTAGACTCAAGACTCGGAAGACGATAGTAGATTGCTCAGGTGAAGTAAGCGTGTAGGTAGAGCAGTCTTTTTTGTGCTAAAAAAGGACTTGGTGCACCTCAACTATTGTCCATTCCAGGTTTACAGAAGATCTCAGTTACTTGACCCATTGACTTGTAACATTGTAGGGTTTAGTCTTAAAGAAATTGTTGATGACTTTCAAACAAAAGTAGTGCTACCATTATGCTATCCTTGTTTGTGATGTCTGGTGAACAGTCACATCACAAGGATCTGTACGTGGTGCTCAAGGAGATCTTGCGATCATATATGCTCCATCAAAGAGTAAACCTTTAGCTTGATAAGGGAGTTGGTGGGATAGAGGGGATTAAGCATTTGAGACCATGAGGAAGCTCATCATCTATAGCATTGGCTGTTCCTCTAATTTTCATATTTATCCATCTACCCTGCTACACTTTCAGATCCAAATCGGCTTAGGAGGTTTGTAAATGTTAATCTCTTCAATCACCACTGCCATGTCGGTGGCAAATAACTGGCAAATATCTTTAGAAAGGTACTTGTCTGAAGTCTGCTTTCATTCAAACATGCATTAACCAAGTCAGGTTAATCAGCTTGACTACTTACACCTGGAGGGAGCCAAGGCACTTAGGGCACCATCTCCACGTCACCAGTATGTAGTAGTGATGGAGCTTGGAGTGTTCCTTTAACTCACAATTATTATTATTATTATTACTTGAAACATTAGAGCAGGGGTAGGCAACCTTTGGAACTCCAGGTGTTGTGGACCACATCTCCCATAATGCTCTTACAGTCCACATCATCTGGAGACCAGAACAGCAAAGTTTTCCAACCATACAGAATAATAAAATGTAACTCTTATTTGATAATATTTTAACATTTCTCATAACTGTATTGTATTGTATATACTTTAGATATGCTTTCCTTTTTACAATCGATTAACTGATATCAAATAAAAGTTATGTTTTATTACTCTGTATGGTTGGACACCTATATTGATCTGGTCTTTCTCTTACTCTGTTTCGATTAGTTTTGGCTTACCCTTCCTTATATGCTTCCAACGTAATAAGCCATCCCTAACTAAGTTTTCTAATACGTGTATTATTATTATTACTTATTTCAAAACTACTACATTTTTTTCTTTTTGCTTTATTTTCTTGTTTTACTCTCCAAATTCCCTCTATTTTGATGCTAATAAACACCATATGCTGAGTCTTTTTAAAGAGAAGGATGCCCTGTTTACAGAGGCAGAGCAAAGACTGAAAGTGTTAGATGTCAAAGTCTGAAATAGTCAAACAGCCAGGGAGAAACGGTAAATGTATGTGCATTGTGAACTGCTGCAGAAACCACTGTGAATGTGATATCTTGGGAGTCTTTGGACTTTGCTAGGAAGTTATGATTTAAAATTTATGTTAGGAGTTTTATCTCGTAGCCCAGGATCTGTAATGGAAACCAGAATAAATAAAACACACTGATGAAGTGTGCCTTCTTGAAGAGACTTAGTATGAAAACAAACTGGTTGAACAAGTGGACTAGTTAAAAAAAACAATCAGTTGTGGGGAGTTGATCTGCATGTTTGGATAATTTTTACGTTTGTCTTTTAATTCACTACAATTTAGGATTTAATAAATAAACCCTCATATGTTGACTTTAGGCGTTCGCTGCATTCCACATTTAAAAAGACTTTAAATCTATATCAAGAATTTTCTCAACTAAAATAGACATAGCCTGATGATTATGACTTTCTGTTTAAATTTATAGCTTTAATATTTTAAACTTTGTCAACTCCCATATATTCCATTATTTATTATAAAATAATGTTGGGTTTTCTGTGAAGACCCAAAGAATGAAGGTATGCTAACGATAGAGTGTACAAACATTAAGGAAAACAGCTTAAATTGTTTACAAGTATTATATTTATATTTTAACCATATACATTTATTATTTTTCCAATTTCTGTTATATAATAAAGTGGAAATTCATTTTTGGCATAATCTTCTTCTTACATTTGACTAAGTCTAAAGTCAAAAAGAACCAAGTTAAACAAGGTGTAAAGTGAGATGATACACCCTCATGAAAAGGTGGTCCCAAGAATTAGAGCAGATGAATTTATCATTCTACCTTGCAAGGCCTATTTGGGAGCTAGAATTATGAATTAATGTGTTAATTCATATCTTTACAGGTTTATAAAGGGGCTTTCATTATGTCAATTTCTTTGCTGTACTTAGGAATTCAATATAACGTGCATGTCAATACGTATTCTTAAAATATTAAAATTTTTAATTAGATCATGCTATTTTTACATTTTTTATTATTATTAATAAATAAAATATGGACAAAGTCAAAACAAATGCAATCCATGTGTAATCCACATCATCCGTGATATTGCCTAATATTAGTGGAGTGAAATAATGCCGTACAGAGTGTGTGTGAGGTGGGTAGAAATAAAATTTCCAATGTTCTGTATCATCAGCACAAAATTATCCTAGTACAATGAATGTAGGCAGAGAGACTGGGCTGGAGGCCAATTGAATTCACAAGATGTTGGGTAGTTCTACTAGAAACATGAGTCATATGTGTAGCAACTAGAATGTGGAAGAGACTAGTCATGTTTTCATTTTAAACTAAGTGCAGTGTCTTTGCCAGCTTTATTTTATTGCAGGTGGACTTTAAATCGAAATGTTAATGCTTTGTAATACAAAGAAGTGTGTAAATATGTATTTGTAAACAATTATAATTATTTCCTTTATGACATTTTTATAGCTGCTCCTGCGGTGCAAAACAAAACACTCTTTTTACCTCCCTCACCAGCTATTCCTCTCTGTGTTGTGATTTGCCACGTGTTGTAAATAATTGTCTTTAGGCAACATATCTGTGCTGTTTCCTTTTGTTCATTGAACATTATGATACATAAGAAAGTATTGTAAAGTACACAGGTGATGATAAAAATGTGACTTTGCATGGAATAACATTTCAGTCATACACTGTAAAAGCTATTTTTTTTCTCATATTGAAGTTGTTTCTTTTCTTTCTATAATTTTATTTTTCTTACTTTCTCACCACCTTCTCAGTCTTTATTGTTGGCATCACAATAATTATTACAAGCATTTCTTCCTTGGGCAGAGGTGCATGTATCTGCCTATCATAACATAAAACAAGTGGAAAAGAGAGCTCAATGGTTAGGGTGGCACTCACTGGTGCTTAGGGAGCTTAGTTTAGTAATGATGTTGCTGTTTTTATAGTGCCATCTGCAGCTCCCAAGATGCACATGATGCCAGGTTATCAGTTTGGCTGTCATTAACATTCATCATGTGATGTAATCGAAAAACATTCAAAGCCTCCTTTTTGCTTGTTGTTAACCTCACAATATCAGCATATTGATCTCAAGATTGTGTTGTTAATGACAACAATCGAAGTGGAGCCCAGTTTTAAGTTGATAATGATTTCTATCTTTGTTTTCAACACAATCCCAACCAACAAATGTCCATTTTCTGTTCGTGACATCACCAAACATGCAATACTGGCGAAATTCAGAGGCCAAAACAAACAAATATTTAACTTGAGGCCTACATTAGAAGTAAATTAGAAAAACATTTTATTTGCTTATATTAGATTTTAGCAAAGCATTTGATAGCATACCACATGAAGCGGTTGATGTAGTGGATTGAGAAATATACTTAAATGTTTATCGAAACTTGCTGGGCATCTCAGGCAGAGACATTCAAGCTCACTGAGAGGCAGGGTGTGGCTCTCAGCACCCCTGGTAAGAAGTCCAACCATTCTAAAACCATTTGACTACTTAGAGTAGAGGGCCATCAGGTCAGGTCTGGCAACATAACCCCTACAGTATACTGTAATGGATATACTGTTTGAAATGTTCCATTAATGAAGTATTGGTGATTTGTCATTGTCAATTTGTAAAATAAGGTCAAAGCAAGATAATTCAGGTACAATCGGTTTTAAATTACTAATTTTACTAAAATTACTCATTTTCAGACAAAGAAAATGTACTATTAATGTGCTTGTTTGAGTGCACAGGGTTAAAATGGCACTCCAAACTTCATAAAATAAGGATGCTTAATATATATTCTTTATGCATGTTCTCGTTAAACATTGAGTAGTGCTTGGTAAGGATAGGACCCCCTGGTCTTGGTTAATTGCTGAGGTGTGTTTTTGGTGACAGGAAACTGTCCCTGCACACTTATCTTTTAAATACTTTAGTTAGATGTGTCTAGTTAGATTAGATATATATATATTTTTTTTATTTATTTACATTTTTAATTTTATTTATTAATTAATTTTAAAAAATGTATTTATCAGTTTTGGCTTTCATTATGTCAATTTCTGTGCTGTACTTAGGAATTCAATATAACGTGCATGTCAATACGTATTCTTAAAATATAATTTTTTTTAATTAGATCATGCTATTTTTAAATTTTTTATTATTATTAATAAATAAAATATGGACAAAGTCAAAACAAATGCAATCCATGTGTAATCCACATCATCCGTGATATTGCCTAATATTAGTAGAGTGAAATAATGCCGTACAGAGTATGTGTGAGGTGGGTAGAAATAAAATTTCCAATGTTCTGTATCATCAGCACAAAATTATCCTAGTACAATGAATGTAGGCAGAGAGACTGGGCTGGAGGCCAATTGAATTCACAAGATGTTGGGTAGTTCTACTAGAAACATGAGTCATATTGTCCCTGTGTAGCAACTAGAATGTGGAAGAGACTAGTCATGTTTTCATTTTAAACTAAGTGCAGTGTCTTTGCCAGCTTTATTTTATTGCAGGTGGACTTTAAATCGAAATGTTAATGCTTTGTAATACAAAGAAGTGTGTAAATATGTATTTGTAAACAATTATAATTATTTCCTTTATGACATTTTTATAGCTGCTCCTGCGGTGCAAAACAAAACACTCTTTTTACCTCCCTCACCAGCTATTCCTCTCTGTGTTGTGATTTGCCAAGTGTTGTAAATAATTGTCTTTAGGCAACATATCTGTGCTGTTTCCTTTTGTTCATTGAACATTATGATACATAAAGTATTGTAAAGTACACAGGTGATGATAAAAATGTGACTTTGCATGGAATAACATTTCAGTCATACACTGTAAAAGCTATTTTTTTTCTCATATTGAAGTTTTCTTTTCTTTCTATAATTTTATGTTTCTTACTTTCTCAGCACCTTCTCAGTCTTTATTGTTGGCATCACAATAATTATTACAATCATTTCTTCGTTGGGCAGAGGTGCATGTATCTGCCTATCATAACATAAAACAAGTGGAAAAGAGAGCTTAATGGTTAGGGTGGCACTCACTGGTGCTTAGGGAGCTTAGTTTAGTAATGACGTTGCTGTTTTTATAGTGCCATCTGCAGCTCCCAAGATGCACATGATGCCAGGTTATCAGTTTGGCTGTCATTAACATTCATCATGTGATGTAATCGAAAAACATTCAAAGCCTCCTTTTTGCTTGTTGTTAACCTCACAATATCAGCATATTGATCTCAAGATTGTGTTGTTAATGACAACAATCGAAGTGGAGCCCAGTTTTAAGTTGATAATGATTTCTATCTTTGTTTTCAACACAATCCCAACCAACAAATGTTCATTTTCTGTTCGTGACATCACCAAACATGCAATACTGGTGAAATTCAGAGGCCAAAACAAACAAATTACTTGAGGCCTACATTAGAAGTAAATTATAAAAACATTTTATTTGCTTATATTAGATTTTAGCAAAGCATTTGATAGCGTACCACATGAAGCGGTTGATGTAGTAGATTGAGAAATATACTTAAATGTTTATCGAAACTTGCTGGGCATCTCAGGCAGAGACATTCAAGCTCATTGAGAGGCAGGGTGTGACTCTCAGCACCCCTGGTAAGAAGTCCAACCATTCTAAAACCATTTGACTACTTAGAGTGGAGGGCCATCAGGACAGGTCTGGCAACATAACCCCTACAGTATACTGTAATGGTTATACTGTTTGAAATGTTCCATTAATGAAGTATTGGTGATTTTTCATTGTCAATTTGTAAAATAAGTCAAAGCAAGATAATTCAGGTACAATCGGTTTTAAATGACTAATTTTACTAAAATTACTCATTTTCAGACAAAGAAAATTTACTATTAATGTGCTTGTTTGAGTGCACAGGGTTAAAATGGCACTCCAAACTTCATAAAATAAGGATGCTTAATATATATTCTTTATGCATGTTCTCGTTAAACATTGAGTAGTGCTTGGTAAGGATAGGACCCCCTGGTCTTGGTTAATTGCTGAGGTGTGTTTTTGGTGACAGGAAACTGTCCCTGCACACTTATCTTATAAATACTTTAGTTAGATGTGTCTAGTTAGATTAGATATATATATATTTTTTTTATTTATTTACATTTTTAATTTTATTTATTAATTAATTGTAAAAAATGTATTTATCAGTTTTGGCTTTCATTATGTCAATTTCTGTGCTGTACTTAGGAATTCAATATAACGTGCATGTCAATACGTATTCTTAAAATATAATTTTTTTAAATTAGATCATGCTATTTTTAAATTTTTTATTATTATTAATAAATAAAATATGGACAAAGTCAAAACAAATGCAATCCATGTGTAATCCACATCATCCGTGATATTGCCTAATATTAGTAGAGTGAAATAATGCCGTACAGAGTATGTGTGAGGTGGGTAGAAATAAAATTTCCAATGTTCTGTATCATCAGCACAAAATTATCCTAGTACAATGAATGTAGGCAGAGAGACTGGGCTGGAGGCCAATTGAATTCACAAGATGTTGGGTAGTTCTACTAGAAACATGAGTCATATTGTCCCTGTGTAGCAACTAGAATGTGGAAGAGACTAGTCATGTTTTCATTTTAAACTAAGTGCAGTGTCTTTGCCAGCTTTATTTTATTGCAGGTGGACTTTAAATCGAAATGTTAATGCTTTGTAATACAAAGAAGTGTGTAAATATGTATTTGTAAACAATTATAATTATTTCCTTTATGACATTTTTATAGCTGCTCCTGCGGTGCAAAACAAAACACTCTTTTTACCTCCCTCACCAGCTATTCCTCTCTGTGTTGTGATTTGCCAAGTGTTGTAAATAATTGTCTTTAGGCAACATATCTGTGCTGTTTCCTTTTGTTCATTGAACATTATGATACATAAAGTATTGTAAAGTACACAGGTGATGATAAAAATGTGACTTTGCATGGAATAACATTTCAGTCATACACTGTAAAAGCTATTTTTTTTCTCATATTGAAGTTTTCTTTTCTTTCTATAATTTTATGTTTCTTACTTTCTCAGCACCTTCTCAGTCTTTATTGTTGGCATCACAATAATTATTACAATCATTTCTTCGTTGGGCAGAGGTGCATGTATCTGCCTATCATAACATAAAACAAGTGGAAAAGAGAGCTCAATGGTTAGGGTGGCACTCACTGGTGCTTAGGGAGCTTAGTTTAGTAATGACGTTGCTGTTTTTATAGTGCCTTCTGCAGCTCCCAAGACGCACATGATGCCAGGTTATCAGTTTGGCTGTCATTAACGTTCATCATGTGATGTAATCAAAAAACATTCAAAGCCTCCTTTTTGCTTGTTAACCTCACAATATCAGCATATTGATCTCAAGATTGTGTTGTTAATGACAACAATCGAAGTGGAGCCCAGTTTTAAGTTGATAATGATTTCTATCTTTGTTTTCAACACAATCCCAACCAACAAATGTTCATTTTCTGTTCGTGACATCACCAAACATGCAATACTGGTGAAATTCAGAGGCCAAAACAAACAAATTACTTGAGGCCTACATTAGAAGTAAATTATAAAAACATTTTATTTGCTTATATTAGATTTTAGCAAAGCATTTGATAGCGTACCACATGAAGCGGTTGATGTAGTAGATTGAGAAATATACTTAAATGTTTATCGAAACTTGCTGGGCATCTCAGGCAGAGACATTCAAGCTCATTGAGAGGCAGGGTGTGACTCTCAGCACCCCTGGTAAGAAGTCCAACCATTCTAAAACCATTTGACTACTTAGAGTGGAGGGCCATCAGGTCAGGTCTGGCAACATAACCCCTACAGTATACTGTAATGGATATACTGTTTGAAATGTTCCATTCATGAAGTATTGGTGATTTTTCATTGTCAATTTGTAAAATAAGGTCAAAGCAAGATAATTCAGGTACAATCGGTTTTAAATGACTAATTTTACTAAAATTACTCATTTTCAGACAAAGAAAATTTACTATTAATGTGCTTGTTTGAGTGCACAGGGTTAAAATGGCACTCCAAACTTCATAAAATAAGGATGCTTAATATATATTCTTTATGCATGTTCTCGTTAAACATTGAGTAGTGCTTGGTAAGGATAGGACCCCCTGGTCTTGGTTAATTGCTGAGGTGTGTTTATGGTGACAGGAAACTGTCCCTGCACACTTATCTTTTAAATACTTTGTGTTTTCATGTATTTCCTTCTATATCTTACCCACTGGCTTAAAATGAGGAAGCAGTGTGTGCGGGTAGCACAGATTCATGTAGAGAAGGTAGCAATGCTTCTCGATATGATGTCAGTAAGGAAGAGGGTAAAATCTTGGTAGCTAATGTTTAACAAAAAGTCAATAAAAATGTGAGATTTAAAAGGTTTGCTGTACTCGTCCTGGCGTTATAACCACTAAAATAAACTCAAAATTTCCACTTATCACTAACCATTTGCAAGTCAAAATTTAGCTTTGGCAAGTAGAAATTCCCCTATGGTGGGTATGCCATGGACCCTTCAGACTTGCAGTTAAAAGTAACTTTTAAGGCCAATGTAAGCAACTTCGGATTTTACATTTTAAGTCCTGCTTAGAGCACTAATATAAACACTTTTTTTAATCTTAATTCAAAGTTTATTAAGTTGAAAGGTACATACAGTGGAAAGAATGCAATCTATCTGAGAATGCATAAATAGGCAGTCCCAGGTGCGAGTTGAGGTGTAATGGTGTTTTGTGGTCACTCTCACTCGGGAGAGAGTATGTGGCGCATTTGAAATATGAAGGTGGTGTATAAGGTAGAAGGAAGGACACATAGGTCATCTAAGAAAGAGAGAGGGGGGAAAGAGAGTGGGGAGAAGGGGAGCACATGGCCAGATAAGGGGAAAGGGATGGAAGGGAGAAGTAAGGAATGGAAGGTTTAGGTCAAGATGGAAAAAAAGTAAGGCGAGAGGAGAAGAGGGAAAGTGGGGAGGCCAGACCTCAGATCCCAGCCTGCCCCCCGAGCCAGGCTCCACACTTCTCGGCTACCAGCCGGGCTATGTCCTTCCAATTTGGTAAGAGTCTCGGTGTAGCATCCATGAGTCCGTCATGGGTTGTCTATGCTGCTATTGTGATGTTGAGTTGTTGAGGGACCCCCTTCTACCTGCTCTTCACCACCGCTTATGGGTTTCTGGTGCTGGTAGCGGAAGACAACCAGTTGAGCCAGTGGTATCAGGTGTCATTGTAAGTTTGTGCATGGCCTGCTGCAGAGAGAATCTGCTCTTCAATTTGTCTGATGTCCTTCACCCTGTTCATCCATTACCTTAGCATCGGGGTCGTAGTTTGTTTCCAGTGAGATGGAATAAGGCTGCGTGCCGCGTTTAGCAGGTGAGGGATGACTGATTTTTTGTAACTGCGTAATGGGAGTGTGGTGAGCTGGAGAAGATATGTTTCCGGTGTGAGTTGTAGGTTTGCGTCCGTAATGGATGAAAGGACACTATGTACTGCCTTCCAGAAGGGTCTGATGAGAAGGCATGTCCACCACATGTGGTATAATGATCCTAGTTCCCTCCCGTATCGTCAGCATTCCGGGTCACAGTTGTTCATCATAGCAGTTTTTCTGGCGTTTTGTACTAGTGGGAAATCATCTTGTATCCTGATTCCTGGAATTTGGTGCAAATCGATGATTTGTGTAGGAGTACGAAAACGGTAGCCCACTGTTCAGCCGTTGGTGGATGTCCCAAGTCCCTCTCCCAATATTTGGTGTAGTAGGGAAGGATGCGGGCTATTCAGCAGGATGTACAGTAACGATCTTGCGTTTGGCGGCGGTGGAGGTTGGGCACAGATGGCTTCAAATGCGGTGAGAGTTCTTGAGGCTGAGGCCAGATTGGGAATGCTCTTCAAGAATCTCACCAGTTGGTGATACTGGAATACAAACACATTTTTATGTATTTTCTTATTAACATAAACTGAATAATTGAAAGTCTGTACAGAGAGGGGATAGTGAGTTGCGCATATATAAGTAATATGTTCATGAATGGCAAATACATCTTCTATTTCCAATGGCTCCCGGGCTGATTTATTTGTTGTAAGAAGACAAAAAGGTGAGTGAGGTAAAGTTCCTCATTCACTAGCGAAATTGCCGCAGCTCCAAAATTAAATAAACATAGATATACTTATCCATATAATGCTTATTGCAGTTCAGTAAATGCAAAAACAGGGTAATCTTCTTGATGCTGGAATCCTCCCAGTAATCAAATGGTACTTCACACAGAACAAGTTTGTTGGTCTGCACTCATGGGTAATCCTCAAAAATACACAAGAAAGCTATCGTAGAAAAAATGCTCTTAAATGCTATTATTTAAGTTACAAAATTGAATACATATGGCAACACAATGAGACAGCAGTCCTCATGTATTCTATATTGGTCCAAGCATATAGTGATGAAGAAATAAAAAACATGAATAATTCAAAACAAACGGGATCCAAAACCTGAGCGCAGAAGCACCCGCAGCTGCTGTACAGGGGAGAGACTACCAAAGAAGCCGACCCAAAAAAAAGTTAGTAAAGCCCTGGACGCGTTTCACACCACTGGTGCTTTCTCAAAAGGTATTGGAAAATCCAATTGGGAGAAATGAAAATCCAATACAGTTGTTTCTATAATAAAAGATTACAGCAATAAGTGAAAAAGCCATCTAATATTTGTGATTATTTTGTAAACATACAATTCAGGTTTGCCAGATTACTACAAACTGATTATTACTAATTACTATTATTATTAATAATCCTTCAGGTCAGTTACTTATCCAGATGGCAGACAGCTGCAGAACTGCAAGTGCTGGATTGAACGTGGTGGTAAGTACTTTGGTGTTTGTAATTTGAAGGAACCCAATAATTAGATAAATATAGCACTATCTAGCTTGGGAGATTTGATTTTCATTCAGATTTTATAATTGTAAACCCTCCAGTGTCCCTAAAACAGCAGAAGATTGTCTGGGAAGAGTCGAGCCAAGTAGCCCTTTAAATTTCTGACCCAATAACACATTTAGCACACAAATGTCAAAAAAGTCTCCATGCGGTGGCAAACTGGGTCTAAAAATATTGGTTTCTAGAAGGCAGAAGGGGCCCACCCACAACTATAAGGCTATCATTTAATTTTAATTAGAAATTTTAAAATAATGTAAAAAGTGAAAAAGGTACCATTAAAATCTTTGTGAAAAACTAAATATTTTTTAGTTGTTACAGTGTACATATATTGTACATATTACTGGCAGTATACAGTAGGTACTAAATGTAAATACAGATTGTTATAATTTAACTTATTATTGTTTTAATTTTTAACAAATTGATTTTTTTTTTTTAAATCATAATTTATTTGGCATAAAACTATATGGCTGGGTGGGCTGTATACCTGGATGGGGGTGGAGGGTGAGACGGGCACTGTGATTTGTGATTATTTATAAAATAATATAGGGTGCCCCCCAGCCATATCATTTTATTATTATTAAAAACATTTTTATACAGCACCCCCATCCAGGTGTGCAGGGCCCGATGTTGGGTGGATAATGTGGAGTGACCGTCCTAATTATGACATACCCAGTAGACCGGGTTTAGGGTGCGGGGGAATCTTCACTTGTTGTGTGGAGTGCTCAGTGTGCTTGTAATGCCCCATTAAGTCAGTGTATAAATGCTCTCCATTTTGTGCAAGTTAAACAGCATGCTGGGAGGGAGGATGTGCTGAATAATTAATATGTCTGGGCTTTCAGCATTTGTCTTCTCTTGTGCTGGGATGGCCTAGTAAAAAGAATCCCCAAATGTAGTAATTACAACTCACATGGTTGCTTCCCTTTCATATGGCAAAGCATACTGGGAGTTGTAGTTGTCAAACATTGGGGTTCCTTTTTATAGGCCATCCCTGCACTAGGAAATACAGGAGCTGTAAGCCCAGACATTATTATTAATTATTCAGCACATGCTCTCTCCCAGGGTGCAGAATGTGTGACGTGGCAGTATAGCAGCTATATTATTAATAAATACATGGTATAGAATTAAGGTACCATGGGATATAGATTGTTTTAAAGCACCAGTGGCCCGTGATGTTTAACTGGGGGTACACCCTTTGGACAAACTTGTTTTAAAGGAATTCTTCAGGCTGAAAATGAAACCATTTTATTGAGATCAGACATAAATGGCATTTCTAAAGAATCCACGAACATCAAGTGGTTAAGAAAATCTATTGGTTTCTAAGAGAACACTTATATGGTTAAGAGAACATTCATTCATAAAAATAAAATTGAAGGAGACTACATGGTAAGCTAATAGCAGCTGACAGGTAGTTTTTATTAAGTAGCTACATTTTTTTTTTTAAATTTTCTCTATCATGAACAACGATACTTGCCTAGGAAAGGTATTTGTAACTTACACTGCGTAGGCTTGTATGGTACAGATAGAGGCTAAAATTGGGGATTGGAGAATATAGGGTAGTTTCACATTTATTTCAAATAAAGACTTGAACAGATTTCTAGAGGGACTTAAAGGGGAATCTTCCTCTCTCTAAGCTGATGTCCATGTCCAAACAGCCAAACTTATAATACAATTGACCGGGAGTCAAGATGATAAATCAGAGGTACATACTGCTGTAGATTTCTACATTTAATTTAATTTTCAGAAAAAACACACACACTCTCTCTCATCACAGGAAGTGATAGTTCCCCTTTAATGTCCACTTCCTTTCTTTAGTCCGAGTCTGCTGCACTTGTTACATAAGAATACGTTACATTCATGACATAAAGATCGTGTGTGATACACCTGCAAGAACTGGGAAGTGGAATTGCACAATCATCAACATTCTCGTTTAAAATATAAGAAGTGAAGCTGAAAATATAGAATTTGTGATCCAAAGTATAATTAACTTTTTAATTAACTCTTTGCACCAAGTACATCTTGTGACAATGGAATGGCTATAGATAAATAAATTAAATGCCATATTTATGTGTTTATCTAGTTTCAGACATTGCATGGAGAGATAATTCAACAAATGGACAAGAACACCAAACTGGATGTGCAGTTTATACATGTATGTATATATAGTGGGTGGCCAAAATAACAGAAACACAATCTATTCATATTAAGGCTTTATAATCCGTGGACTTATACTTTGTAGTTAGAACAGTCTCAAATCTTCTTGGAATGCCATTATGAATGCTGAAGTGTTTAGTTGGATTCTTTAAGATGCAGATCCTCCAGCTTATTGAGGAATAAGGAAGTCATAAATCCACTCTAGAGCCCATCATATGCTATAATGGTTCGATAATGTTTGGATCTGGTGTGTGAGAAGTCAGTGGAACATCTTTGTCGTTATCCTTTTGTTCATGTCAAATGACTTTGAATTTGTTTCGATATACGTACAAGGCTATAATTACCATATGGACACTCCATGAGGAGGCAATGTTGGTACCATAACTGGCGTGTGAAATTGCCTTAAATTTCTTGTTGGTTATAACATGTCTGTGACTTCCACAAGATGGCTGCCCATACTTTTATGGATCCCCCTGTTTTGGCTATAAACTTAATGGTTTGAAATTGTCATTCGACTTTCTTCAGTTATAAACCAATACAGGTATATACTATAAATTGAAAGACTACCCCTAAGACCATGCTATATTTCTTATATTTTCTGTTGTTCATATTTTCTCCTTATCCTGTGCCAGTGGCCACTTTTTATGATAATTATTAGAAACTTTTTTGCTGCGCCACCCTTCATTCCACATGTCTAATTTAGATTGGAATTTTCTCCTACTACTCACCACAACTCACCTTTATACTTTTTCTATTATGTCTCTTTTCCTTAATTCCTTCGTTCTTCACAAGACTATTCTTAATGATATCATTATATTTCCTTCTTCTTTTTTTTTTTCTAAGCTTGGTTTGAATTTTGTATCTGTTACCTTTATGTATAATTTACAAAACAAAATGGCAGATTGTCCATATAATAATAATCACCAACAGGACAGCCAGACTCGTTATGAGATGGAGTATCGCCAAAGAGCAGCCACTCTTGATAAGTGTATGACAGAGGTCTGGCGAATGGAGAGACAGAAAGATCGCAACTTGAGAGAAATGAAGGTGAGTTTGCGGTAAAGAACTGTTGAAATATCTCATTAACATTTCATATATTATGCTTTGCTGCATGTTTTGCGTAATGTCTTATCTTTATACCGTCATTCTTGTTATTTTTATCCTTGTCTACCTATGTCAGGTTTACTAGTTTGTACTGGCTGTCTCTCATTTCCGATTTGCTCTAACTTTGCTGAACTGTTTCTCAAAATGTACTGGTCTGTGTCTTGACTCTCCCCTTTGTACTCTATTGAATAGGAGAATGTAAGCATGTTGCATTCGGACATGTTGTCTTTTGTCAAAGAGAGCCAGCGAGCAGCAGAACTGGAGGAGAAGCGTAGGTACCGTTTCCTTGCTGAGCGGCAATGGTTGTTGTGTAGTTCCTTCTTCCAATATCACAGCCGGGTAAGTGGTCCACATTAACACTGATTACATATAGAGTTTTGAATGCATGTATACTATTACAAAAAAAAGCATTACAATTCGAAAAGGATATACATTGCACCGAAATCTACAGCTCCTTATTTCTAAAATCAGATTGCTAACTTCACGTAGCTGTTTAAAGGTACACTATAGTCACCAAAACCACTACAGCTTAATGTAAAGTTTCTGGTGTCCCACAGGCTTTTCAGTGTTCTCTTGTTCCCTGATTTTTTTATATAAATGCTGCCTTTTCAGAGAAAAGGCAGTTTTTACATTGCTGCCTAATAACACCTCAAATGGCAGTCACTCAGACGGCCACTAGAGGTCTTTCCTAGTTCAGTGTTGCACAGTATGCAGCACCTACATTCAGCGTCTCCACTCTCTGTTTCTATTCCTGACACTTCAGTGTTCTTTAAAGGTCAAAGTCTTAACATTTAGCTTTTACCATTTGTAATTATCATTTACAAGTAGATTCTTATTAAAAAAAAAAAAAAAAGATATATTTGAATAAAATAATTTCCCCTAAACTATACTTCTCCTACACATTTGAGAATCGAAGAAATGTTATATACATACACAATACACACATTTCTCTATATTAATAGGAGAAGACAAAATAAAGGTATCAGTAATGGAATGAGGAAACTTGTGGCCATCATGATCTGTGTATAGGGGGCTCTCCAGTTTTAAATATAATAGTAGATTTCAGGGTAGAAAAGTTTGCTTCCCCTCAGCCTTCAAAGGGGGTGTTAAGTGCATCTTATTCATATTTTAGTAATGGTTAGGGGCCTGACTCTGCATTTGAATTCTATATTTTAGACTTGGCACTCATGTGCTGTTTACTTCAGATACCTGTGCAAACTTCAAAACAGTGGCCATGAAATGTGGCAAAGTTCCATTTGTAATAGTTCAGGACTCCAACAACTTCTCTTGACAATGAATGGTATACTCCCATATTAATTGTGGCTCTAAAAGACAGATGATACGATTCTTAATATAACAGCTTGAGGCTTCTGCTTTTAGAAGCAGTCATGGTGGTAGGAGTATGTGCAGCCTTTCTGCTTGAAACACTGCACATCCAGATGTATTTGAACTAGTGTGCCAGGGGCTAGTTGCACCCCTGACACACATGACTTTGGTTTAATATCAATTCTGTGCAAAAAAATGTATGTAGTCAGCTTGCTTGGTGATAGACATACAGAGCTTCTTCCGGCATTGCTTTGATCTCCTTTTCCTCCCATTTCATTGAATTCCTCCCTGATGTCCCCACTTCCTTTCATGTTCAGTCATTTTTTTAAAAATATCTCCTCCCCTGTTCACCCTCACTCCCTCCTCTTACCAGCTCAGAGTGCGCACATGGTCTCTTGCCAGTTAAATGATCTGATCAAATGCTTCTCAATGAAAAGCATTTGATTTGATTGGACCATGCGAGGAGTTGCGGTGTCAGAAGAGGCATGGAAACCAGCATGGTGGCCTTCACCCGGCGCTGGTTTTCAGGTAAGTTTGTTGCTCTCTGTTTTGGTTAAATTTACCCATAAAATGGGGTAGGGCAAGTCAGTAATGCTGAGTAAAACAAATGATCACAAAGAGGGTTACCCTTTAATTTTCAACAATGATTGTTAATTGTATTAGGGAATGAAACATCTGAGAGAAAAACGTGTCTTTGGGATTACAGTACATTCTGATTATAGAGAAAAACATGGCTTCCTACATCAAACATATCTTATTAATTACTTCTTACTTACTTATAGATCTGTTCACCATAAAGGGACACTATAGTTACTAGAACAACTATAGCTTATTGCTTTTGTTCTGGTGAGTAAAATCAATCTCTTCAGGCTTTTTGCAGTAAACACTGTATTTTCATAGAAAAGGCAGTGTTTATATTGCAGCTTAGTGATAACTCCACTGGCCACTCCTCAGATGGCTGCTAAAGGGTGCTTCCTGGGGAAGTGCAGCACTGCAATTTAGTGTCTCCACCCTCTGCATGGAGACACTGGACGTTCCTCATCGGGATGCATTGATTTAATTGCTATGGGAAAGCATTGTGATTGGCTGAGAAGAATCACTTCTGATGATGTCAGCCAAGGAGGCAGATCAGGGGCAGAGCCAGCACCAACAGATGGAAATAATGGTACAATTTTACTATATTTAGGGTGATAAGTGGGGTTAGATGGTGTTTTAACACTATAGGGTCAGGAATACATGTTTGTGTTCCTTTAACTCTACCATTTCCCTGGGCCGCATTGAAACCTTCTTTCTTAATGCTCTTTTATTTCTTCTTCCCCATTTCTTCTTCACCTGTTATTCCACTTTGTCTCTCCCCCTTTTCTTGTACATCTGGCTTTCTGCTTCTTCCTCTTTTTTCTTTTGCTATAGAACTCTTACTTAGCCTGTGTGCGCACTATACACTGCTCAGCCACAATATTAAAACCACTGACAAGTGATGTGAATAACTTTGATTATATCGTTACAAAGGCAGTGGTGTTCCCTGATGGCTGTGACCTCTTTCAGCAGGATAATGCATCCTGTCACACAGCAAATATTGTTCATGAATGGTTTGAGGTACATGACAAAGAGTTCAGGGTGGTGCCCGTGTCTCCAGATCTCAATCCACTTGAGCATATATGGGATGTGCTGGAACAACAAATCTAGTCCATGAAGGTCCCACCTCGCAACTTGCAGACATTAGGATCTGCTGTGAATGTCTTGGTGCCAGAGACCACGGGATATGTTCAGAGGTCTTGTGCCTCAACACATCAGAGCTGTTTTGGCAATACAAAGGGGACCTACACAATATTAGGCTGGTGGTTTTTAAAGTTGTGAATGATCAGTGTATTCTGAGCAGGTAGGTTCAGTTTCTGTTTTTATATTGAGATTGGTTACTAAATGGGTAGCTTGTCAATAATGTTCGCATACTGTTCTTTGCTCATTTATGCACCCCCATTACATTTTGTACTCTGCAAAATATCTAAGAAAATACCATGGTCTGTATTTCAGGCACAGGGTGTGTTGCAGAGCAGAGTACCTACATGGAAGGAGCAGATTGACGCTAGCAGAAACCAAGGCCAACAACCTACTCAGTATGTTCCCAACAGACAAACCTCTAGCCCGATGGTAAGAGACTTCTTCTTTAAACAAGATTGTGGGTTCAGTTCTGGCATAAACTTTATTTCTAGCTTTCTAGATAAATACATTTTTTTAGATATTTGTCGCATATTGTGTTTCTTTGCCGACATTTCTGGTGCCTATATTATATTACCGTAATGCGCCAATACGCTACGAAACAACATCAGTACAGTAAAGCTAAGGTCCCCTTTTGTATCCCTGAAATCGCTCCAGTCTGCTAAATCTCTTCTTGCTGGAGGTATTGGTGACTTCCTGGTTTTATAATGAAAGTAATAGTTACAAACCCAAAGCCAAAAGAGAAAAGCTTATGCATTGAGGGTTTGAAACTCTCCCAGCATCTACCCTCACTTGCCCCTCAACTAACGCAGAAGTAACTTTTGCATTAGCCTGTCCAATTTTAGGCAGCAATGATAGACAGAGAATCTTTAAATAACCCATTCCCAGCACTCCTAGCCTATTGTTGCTACCAACAATTTCACAAGCTAATCTGGAAATCCAATTAAGAGCGGAAAGCGGATAGCTGAGCGGAAAGCCTGTAGGCATCCACCGTCCACTGTCACTTTGCTTCATAACCAAGCTCATTGTAGTGGTTCCAGGTCTTAGAATGGTCATTTAAATACATGGACAAGTAATTACAGAACTGTTGAAAATGGCTCTAGGTTTACCTTTGCACTAATGTTAGAGTAGTGACATTATTATATTAAGCTAGCTGGTATCTGCATTCCAGTGCAGGGTGCCCTCCCAGTGCTGTTAAGGAGGCAGGTTGTGAAATAGAGGGACACTGTTGTACCCCATTCAGTCATGGTGTGATCCATTATAAATGTCACGCATCTTAATAGCATTGCTACTAGGACACTTCACATTTTGATATGAATATTTTAACCACAAAGTTTTTAAAGTGAGCTTCACTTTTCTACATATATTTTGAGGCACCACTCTAAGTACTGTTATAAAGATGCATTTTATTACATAAAGATCTGTATGCAGAGATATTTAACTCTTTGTTTGACATCCTGTCTCTACCAGACTGAAGTGAGAGGCTCTTCACGTTTTGATTCCAGCCATAGGGGTGTACAGAGAACACCATCAAATGGTAAGCAGCAGTTTTTCTTGTATACTATGTCTGCGGCATTTTGCATATTTAATGACTTGTCTTTGTGTCTGATTATTTTAATTATTTCTTTATTTTTTTTTATTTTTATATTCTTTATTTTTTGATGTGCATGAAACTTACACTCAAGCAATGAATGCCACTACAGCGATAAAACAGATATAAATGAGTATATAGCAGTAACACATGCATGGCATTCTGTGGGGCTGCACAATTTTATAATTTTAAGTTAAACAGGCAAAATTAACATGCCTAAAATTGTGTTAGATAACAAGGTAAAATATAGGTAGAGACAAATAGACATGTAGGCAGGATTCCATGTGTGCAATTAAGACCGCATAAAGGGTGATGCGTAATAAACATGTTACCTATGTCAGTATCATATTATCAATTATGTCAATTATGCCTTGGGTTGCACACTCATTAAAATTACCACTGGGGCTGAGTACCATTTCTATAAAGCCACCGTTTTGAAAGGAAAAGATTAAAGACAACAGGTTGAAAGCAAATAAAAGATTAGAACAAGCTGGTGGGCAAGCAATCAGATCGTGAGCTGTAGGCCTCTAGGCAGCAGTAGTCCCCAGTTATGCGATTCCCGGTATTGGGAGGTCTTTGACGGCAGCTGGAGGGCAGCGACCACAGGCACAAGTGCGGGCTCCCCTGGACACCCTTCAGGCGGTTGTTTCTCCTTCAGGTCTAGGACTTCCGAGGGTGTGCGCTACGTGAAGGGTGACAACTCTGCTTGGATTGAGAGCCAGGTGAGTAGCGGATGAGTTGGGTACCTGTCTTTCGGCCATGAGGTGTCCTTCCCGAATTCTTCCACAACCGCAGTCTTGCAGCAGGTACACTATTCAAAGCAGGCTTTGGTCGTTGCTGGCGGGTAGGTCGTGAGACCCGGACTTGAGCGTGTCTCCGCACTAGTCGCTTGCTTGTGTCCCAGCTCCTCCGGTCTCTTTCAGGCAGTAAAGGATGTGTTGCTGCCATACACTTCTCCAGTTGGGCACAAAATTGCTGAAAGATTGCCACAGCCTCAACAGTATGCGACTGGAATGATCTTGTAGTTGTGAGCTGCACTGTGTCAGGCTCCATGGCCCAGGAAGAGTTGTCTCGGCTATTGTGTATGGAGCAGTCTCTTCAGAGCATGGGAACTGTACGTAGGTTAGTGCTTTTTGTGTTTATTAGCCCAGGGGGGTGGGAGAGAGTAGCAGCACGAAGAGTTCAGACAGAAGGCTGTTGAGTGGCAAGAGCGGCTGCCTCTCCCCGGCAAAGATGCGTGTAGGCCACAGATGCACACTTCAGGCATGGACCAGAGTGGTCTCCCCAGATTAGTCAAAGTGTCCCCAGTGCAGACAATACACTGTGGGGCGGAATGAGGCTCAAGAGTACAGGGTACAGCTGAGGAATCACACAAAAGTCCAGGAGCTTGTTCACCATGCATCCTGTCGTCTTGGCGGTCAGGCTCCGCCACCCTCTAGTTATTTTTAAGATATCCACTGCCAGTTTTCTCTACCGATTAGTACTGACTCTTTCTTGAATGACAGTTTTATAAGCTTTAAGCTTCACTTTGTGGCTTGTTTTAATCTCTCTTGCTCTCACTTGCAGGCTCAATGGGAAACGCACAGCAACGCATGCGATCTAGTTCATTTGGCGAAGTGGCTGTAGCAGCAGTGGCGGCAGCAGCATCCAACACAGGAGGCAAGAGAGTTCAGGCGTTAGTAGATCACAACACTGGGGGGAATAGTACTCTGCTCCCCTTTTCCAAAGGAGTGATGATCACAGTGCTGGTTCCAGAAGCCAGGAATGGATGGCTGTATGGAAGACTGGAGGGGCTTTCAACGTGAGTTAGTTTATCTTGAAAAATGTAACTAATAAAATTATGGCATTGAGATGTACAGACATCTAAAAGTTACAACTATTTAACCTGCATACTTTTTTAGACTTCAATGGTTGAAGGGTTCTTGTGTGAGTAGAATTATGCGGGAGGAACTATTACATCCTTTGCAGCACAGTGCTTTGTGCCAACCCTGGGCACCAGTTAGTATGGTGTGGAACATTCTTCAAAGCGGATATTGTTTATTGCTAAATATTACACAGTACAGTTTGGACAAGCCTTTTGGACTTGGAATTTTGTTAATGTTAACAGAGGAACAGTCCCATTTCTGAGAATGAAAGTTCCTTGATCCTTTAAAGGACCACTATAGTGCCAGGGAAACATACTCGTTTTCCTGGCACTATAGTGCCCTGAGGGTGACCCCACCCTCAGGGTCCCCCTCCCGCCCGGCTCTGGGGAGAGGAAAGGGGTTAAAATTACCTTTTTTTCCAGCGCCGGGCAGGGAGCTCTCCTTCTCCTCTCCGCCTCTGATCCTCCCATTCGGCTGAATGCGCACACGCGGCAAGAGCTGCGCACACATTCAGCCGGTCTCATAGGATGCTTTCCTATGGACGCTTGCGTGTTCTCACTGTGATTTTCACAGTGAGAATCACGCAAGCGCCTCTAGCGGCTGTCAATGAGACAGCCACTAGAGGCTTTGGAGGATGGATTAACCCATTTATAAACATAGCAGTTTCTCTGAAACTGCTATGTTTATAAAAAAAATGGGTTAATCCTAGAGGGACCTGGCACCCAGACCACTTAATTAAGCTGAAGTGGTCTGGGTGCCTAGAGTCGTCCTTTAACCAATAAACACTATTAAAGGTTTACTGAGAGGAGGAAGTATGAAACACTTGCTTCTGCAGCACACACCATGATGCTGTGGCACTGGCGGATCCAGGGGGAGGGGGCAACTGGGCAATTGCCCCCCGAGGCTCTCCCCTGCCGGCTGATGCAGGGGTGGCATTGTCCAAGCGCCAGCCCTGCAATGTGCCTTCACGGACCGGAGGGGAGATCAGAGATCTCTCTCCCCGGTCCGCAGGCACCGTGCTGGCAGCCGGCAGGGGAGGGAGAGAGGACCCGGGAGTTCAGCCTGTGATTACCACGGCAACACTCTGGATCTCGCAAGAGCGAACTCTAGCCCTGGAGCTACGGGCTAGAGTTGACTCTCACCACTGCGACCACCAGGGATTGAGAAATGTCGCGCCTCCGCCCTCAGTAAAGGTAAGAAGGGAGGACATAAATGTATTTATTTTTTAAATTATAAAAAAGCCCCCCCACCCTCCTCACCACACATTCACACACTGTCATCCCTGTCATACACACAATGCCCCCCATACACACACTGCCCACACACATACACAGCCCCCCATATACACATTGCCACACACACACATACACAGCCCCCCATACACACATTGCCCCACACACCCTACACATTGACACACTACACCCGCCCACACACACTGCACCCCTCACACATTGCACCACTCACACATGCCACTGTTCCTATGCCCTACTATAGCCCCATATCTCAGCAGACCCCAAGTAAGTTGTCAAACTGTTTTTAAACAGTTTGACTACTTACTCTGGCAGGGGATCCTGGCACTATAACCACTACACAGAGCTGTAGTGGTTATTGTGCCTGGATTATTTATTTAAATAATCTACAAGTGCCCCTCCCGAGATCAGTCTCTGGATCCGCCACTGTGCTGTGGGTGGGCACTTGGGCATCTACTTGGAAGGTGCTGTACGAGTGCATTAATCTTTTGGCATTATATTGTATGCTATGAGTGTGTGAATTAAAAAAAAAAAGGATATTTTTTTTCTTAAGGCAACATTAAAATGACAATTCCGCTAGTAAAGAGAATAGGTAGCATGCGACATTTTATAGGCATATAATATAATCCTCTTGTCTCAGTTTGGGGTGTAATTTCAAATGACAATTTGTTTTGTTTCCTCTTAAACTTTATGGTAACATTGACTGCTTTGTTTGTGTTTTTATCATATTTCACATTAAGAAACCTACATTTTGTTTTCGATTGGTTCCAGATGTAGGATGGGTTTTTCTGTTCTTATCTTTGTAACCTTTTTTATCTTCTGCATTTGAGTTATGTTTATTCGATTCATATCTGTGCTGTTGTTCTTCCTGTGCTTTGATTAATATATAATTCTTCTGTTGTTTTTTCCATGATGCAGTATTCATCATTTCCCCCTTAACATTGCTTTAGTGCACTTCACAGAATGTAGTTGGGAATTTTGTTAGTATTTTAGCCAGGAGATTATCATATCTGAACTCATACTGAACCAGGGTGATATTACAATATGCAATGACAATTGTGTTTGCCATTTTGTTAATTGCACAGTGTGAAAGACACAAACTTTGTCTGCTTGTCTGTCTATCTAATCTCTCACCTGTCTGTTCATCTATTTATCTATCTGTATTAATGAATGGTCTAGATGGTCTGACCATGTGATCACAATATATATTTGCTGTACAGCTACACCTGGATAAGATCACTGCTCTTGGATGTTTGTAGTATTTTCTTATTCTGTAAATGAATCTACCAAAGTTTTAAAATGAATGCTATTTACTTTTTAAAGGAACACTGTAGCATTAGGACTACAAATCCTTTTTCCTACTCCTTTATGGTTTCCTTCCCCCCACCCCCATAAAAATTAAACAAATCACATTTTTACTTACCTGATTACAGCACTGAGGATTCCTTGATGTTGCTGATCTCTCCTACCCAATGATCCTTTTAGAGGAGTATTTGGGACCTATTATACATGCGCAGCAAATGCTGCACACACATTCAAAATTCCCCATAAGAAAGCATTGAATTAATGCTTTCTTATGGGGCTTCTGCGTCACGTGACTAAGTTTCGCTCTGTCTGTGCCGCAGAAACGTCTCTACTGGCTGTCATATTGACATCCACTAGACGAGGACTTAACCCTGAAGTGTAAACATTACACTTTCTTATTAAATGCAGTGCTTTACATTGCAGGGTTAAGGGGACAGGGGCAGTGCAGCCAAACCACTTCATTGAGATAAAGTGTTCTGGATCCGCATAGTGTCCCTTTAAATCTACTGGTTAGCCCTGTACATTTTTGTTGATATATCAAAATAGGGTTCAGTGCTGGATTTCAGCTTCCATCTACAGCAGCACAGTGTATTTACTTTAGAAGTTCTCTATTAATTCAACTTTAATCACACACAGGATGCTGCTGTAGTCTCTAGTAGGTAATTAACAGAGTAGAAGGTCAGACATTAGAGGAACATTCCAAACACTTTAGTGGTTATGGTGCCAGTTGTGCCCTGGTACCTCCACCATAAATAGTCAAACAACCATTTTAGAACTGTTTGATTACGTAACTTGGATTCATATCAACCAGAGAGCTGAAAGTTCCTAAGCAGGAACTTCAGTTTGCTCTACTGAGCTAAACCCCTGCAGTGCAGGGCTCGGTACCCCACTGAGAGGGTCGGTTGATCACCCTCAGCCAATGGGTTCCACTCAGACATAAAGCTTACGACTCTTTGGCTGATGTAGTGGAGTTGGGGAGGACTCCAGGTAAGGAGTCAAACCATTCAAAGATAGCTTGAATAATAACAATGGGTGGATCTTGTCACCATAACCACCACAGCACACTATAGTGGTTATGGTACTTTAGTGTTCTATTAACACTCACTATGCAATATGAAAAATTTAAAAGGTAGACACTTTTTCATGGATGTGTGTAGGGAGGCTTTATGAGTCCCACAAAGGGGAATTGTGGCTAGGGCTGCATAAACAAATGATTAAACTCTAAAATGGCAGAGAACTGAGCAATGAGACTGCAGAAGCATGATCTGTTCACCAAAACTGCTTCATTAAAGGACCACTATAGTGCCAGGAAAACATACTCGTTTTCCTGGCACTATAGGGTCTCTAGGTCCCCCTCCCGCCGGGCTCTAGGGTGAGGAAGGTGTTAAACACATAAATTTTCTCCACCGCTGGGCTCCCTCGGCAGTGGGGACTCTCCGCTTCCTTTTCCCATCATCAGCTGAATGCGCACGCGCGGCACAAGCCGCGCACGCATTCAGCTTCCATCTACAGCAGCACAGTGTATTTACTTTAGAAGTTCTCTATTAATTCAACTTTAATCACACACAGGATGCTGCTGTAGTCTCTAGTAGGTAATTAACAGAGTAGAAGGTCAGATATTAGAGGAACACTCCAAACACTTTAGTGGTTATGGTGCCAGTTGTGCCCTGGTACCTCCACCATAAATAGTCAAACAACCATTTTAGAACTGTTTGATTACGTAACTTGGATTCATATCAACCAGAGAGCTGAAAGTTCCTAAGCAGGAACTTCAGTTTGCTCTACTGAGCTAATCTGAGATCACTTCCTCTACGTACTGCAATGCATAAATTGAGGATTGTCCTTCACCACCTTTTCGTATTAGCAGATATGTGAAGTTTCACTGGGACGTCTGATAGGCCAGAGCCTGTTTGGCTCTAGCAGCCTTGAGTGCCGTGCAAAGACAACTTGAGTGCCGTGCATGGCACTAGTGCCGTAGGTTGCCTACCCCTGTCCTAGAGGATTGAAAATATTAACGTCATTCACCGTTTTTGGTTCTGTGAATTTGCTGGAAATTTGAAAGTTTTCTCAAACAAGTGTGATAGGTTTATGAATTAGATGTCAGAGTTAAAGAGTTTTATCCAAGTCCGTGAACCCAGTGGTAACATGCCAACCAAAGGATGGAGCTTCCATGATCGATCTTGTGATCGTGTCTTGTACCCTATCAATCCTCCTTTTACTAACCAATGTGACGTGCTATTTGCATTCTTGTAGGTGAAGTCGTCTCCTTCTTAACAGAAAATAAAATAAAAAACTCTGCAACATCATTTTGTGAAAGTGGCACATTTGTCCAACAAAGTCCTACCTTACCTGCTTAAAAGGTCTGGCTCTGGAGAAACCCTGCATTTTCCTTACCATTCCGTCCACAGGTGTTTTTTGCTATCAAGTGATTATTGTATTGTCTCTTTGCCTATGTCCTAGGAACAGCAAGGAGTTACATAAAACCCTCTACTACTTTTTTTTGTCTTTTGTGTTTTCTGTAGAACAAAAAACTGCTGTTGAAAAAAATAAAATAAAAAGAGATACAAGAATCAAAACTCAACAAATGAGTACTTCGTTAATTTTCATATGATGTCATCCAAAATATATTTTCTTAATAATATCCAGACTTTCATGGAAAACAAATAATTTCGTGGTTTTTATGTTTATGCATCTGTGGATGCTTCCTGGATACCAGGACAGTTCTTCGTAGTGTTGTTCTGATTTAGACATCTGCAACTTGGCCCACCCATTGTGGATACAAGAGTAATGGAGTTTAGTTATTGATTCCAAACAGGAATCAGGACTAGTGTTCATATTTGTCACCTTATTAAGCAGAAAAAAATAAAACAAGTCCATAAACCGGTTCTGTATACCGGCAGCAAATGAATCATCAATCTGTGTATTTATGGTGCTGATGCCTTCTGCAAAACATCAATAAGTCTTTTTTGTTTTTCCCTTGTTTTCTGTTCCATTCTTGTTAGCTCAGCTGTTCATTGAACTGGGGAATTGAAGGAGGAGAATGTGGAAAGATTGCAGAAAAGATTTTGAGAAGTGTTGTGCCTCTCCAATGGAATCCGTAATCTGGGGTGTTCGCATATCGAGCTGTTCTTGATATCCTGCTTAATATCTAATAAAATGTTGGAGACAGAGATTTAGCTTCCTAATAGTTAGTCTATTCTTAATATATATGCTGGTTTATGGCATGATTGGTGTAATTAAAGACAAATAGGAAGGAATTTTTGGGGGGTTCAGAACTGCTCCCCGTAATTACACTTCAGAAATGTAAATATTTGAATGTGAAATTGTTATGGTTAGGATAGAAGACATCACAGAGATATAGGTGTTTTGAAGCAAATGTAAAGGAGCATAAAATAGAACAAGGGGAGGTAATGTTAGTACTAAAAAGTGGTGATTGGTATAAAAAAAATGTTTTTATAGAGACCGCAAATTAAAGTTTGTGTTTTTATTTTTTTCAGGACTGGCTGGTTCCCAGAGGCATATGTGAAATCTTTGGACCAGGATCCCAGGTAGGACAAGAGTTATTATTATTATTGCCATTTATGTAGCGCCCACATATTCCATAGCATTTTACAATATTATTAGAGGGGGGATTTAACTATAAATAGGACAATTACAAGAAAACTTACAGAAACGATAGGTTGAAGAGGGCACTGCTCAAACGAGCTTACAGTCTATAGGAGGTGGGGTATAAAACACATTAGGACAGGAAATAGCAATAGGGCATAATAATAAAAGAAAAAAAGATTATTCCAAAAATAGTTGAAAAACGTAACAAAAATAATAAATGAGTAACGAGTTCAAAGTGTAATTTGTACAATTTATAAAAGGATGATAGTATTGGCGTTCCTTGCATGCTTCAAACTGAATGGGTACTTCTTCATAGGCTTGTGTATTAACCAATTAAAATATGCTAGCTACTTAAGGAAGACACTGTCTCTACAGGTCATACGGTCTGCGTAGTGCGCACAGTACTGGAGATCTCTTGGACGGACAGGATAACACCCCACAGACAGGTTACAGGCCTATTTCCCAGGGCCCACCAGAACCAAGCAACCGACGAGGAAGTGAAGCAGGCATGATCCCTGCAGCCCCTGCACACAGCAACCCAGCATCAAGGGTAAGAGGAAGAAATTACTTTGGTTTTTAAGACATCTGTTTGTTGAACTATACTTCTAGTGTTCATTACTAACAAGGAAATATGGTATAGACAGAGACACTAAAATGTTCTTGGAATGTTGAATTTCCATTGCCTGATTTCACGGTCTACACAGTAAATTGTGCATTAGTCTCTTTCCATTGTGTCAGATTGGAAGGTATTGCTGTTACAGCTAAAAATATATTGTGAACAGTTGCCTGGGATTTGATGAATAGAGTGTACCTTCTCCAAACATTATCCACCCACTGCTCTTGCTGAGGAACCCAAATTTTGTTCCTAACCCAGGAGTTAGGAACTGCTGATTTAAATTATATTAAATACAATATGTTTGTAATATGTACTTTTATAAGGTGACCAGATTAAATGGGGACAAACTTATATTTTAAAAAAAAGAAAAAAAAGTAAAAATGGGGGGCGGGATCAGACGTCTGAAAATCGGAGCTAGCTGGAAGCCAACCGGGAATATTGACCCACGACGGTGACCACACTGACCCCCAGCCGCTGGGGTACGCGGGGATACCGCCCAAGCACCGACAGCAACCTGACAGGGACCAGGAGCTTGCTTGAGCCGGGACGAGACGGCCACTCTCCCGGGTCTCCGTCCAGCATCTGTAAGGGTGCCAACCATCCAACCATCACACCAAGCCGGGCCTGAGCAACTGCTTTGGCGCGCAATTTCCACCGGACAGCGCCAAAATGGCCGACGCGCCAATACCGCATGATGGCCAGCCATGCGCGCGAACAGCCAGTTTGACAGAGAGGTTTAAACCTGGGCAGAGAGCCAACAGGGACTTGGCCCCAAAGCATCGACCGATGCACCAAGAGGCCCCACAGCAACAGACGAAACACTCACCGGCAGCGAGGAAGGCCCAAAATGGTGGAGAGTAAAGTGGCATACAGCGCATCAGCAGCGGGCACCACATGAACGGACATTACCGATTCTTAAGCCTGGCGACACATCTGTGATAGTGGAGGTGACATCGACCCTGCCCCACAGCCCACTCTGAAGCATAGGAGCCCAAGACATCTCTCCCCAAGGCTGGACTGTACACTGCCCCTTGAGGGCAAAGGCTAAGCCAAACTGGCCAGTGGAACTCTCGGGGACTAATGACCAACTATTATTTTCCCTTACGGGCTATGCTTGTTTCCTATTATTTACCTTGTCATGCGATTATACCAACAGCCCTGATAGCCAACATCCCATTTCTAAGCTCTAGATTATTAATGCCTTTCACCACCTTTCCAAGGGGACCTCCTGGGGGGCTAAAGCTGACAGGCCAGCAATATGTCTTATCTTTATGCAATGTCCCAATGTTTTAGCACAGTTGTAATATTGCTGCCTTGCTGTGGCTCTAGACTACTGTAATATATAGACCCAAGAGTGGCCTGCTCAGACCCAATAAGCGACAGGAAAATATATATTGGCCCCTCGCAGCTGATTTAGCCTGTTTTGAATTCTTGATTAGCATTAAAGGACCACTATTGGCACCCAGACCACTTCAGCTTAATGAGGTGGCCTGGGTGCCTGGTCCATCTAGGGTTAACCCTTTTTTCTATAAACATAGCAGTTTCAGAGAAACTGCTGTGTTTATAATAGGGTTAATCCAGCCTCTAGTGGCTGTCTCATTCTCACAGTGAGAAGACGCCAGCGTCCCTAGGAAAGCATTGTGAATGCTTTCCTATGGACTGGCTGAATGCGCGTGCGGCTCCTGCCGCGCATGCGCATTCATCCGAAGAGGTGGAGAGGAGGAGGAGAGCTCCCTGCCTAGCGCTGGAGAAAGAGGTAAGTTTAACCCCTTCCTCTCCATCCAGCCCAGCGGGTGGGGGAACCCTCAGGGCACTATAGTGGTCCTTTAACCATTAGTGTCTGAACCTGAACTCATACATGTCTTCTTGTGAATGCCTTACTATAAGCTACGATCCACAGATACTACCTGCGACTCATACCTCACCTATTAACTATAAAATTGTGCAAGGACTAACTTATACTCCACTGTTATAAAAGTTTGCAAAGCATGAGGAATTCCGTTGGTGTACCCCATGCACATTTGTTATCTCATACGCATTGCAAAAAAAATAATGATAATCCTAAAAAAAAGAAAAAAAACTAACGTAGCCTCTAGAAGCAAACCGGTTCTTTATGAAGGTAGTGAATGGGTGTTAACAGGACTGCCGTCAGTAGTGCATTCTCTATTCAACCTGTTACTTTTACATCCTTATCTATGGTAGTTACTGCTCACGTCCTTTTGTCATATACAGACTGTGTTGTTTTTTGAAGGCTCCTCTTTTTTTACACTTTGATGAGTACTTATTTGTCCCTATTTTTATCCCCTATCCATCTACCTTTGTGGCTTTTTTTTAAGCAGACTATATAAAAAACAAATTTTATTTATATATATATATATATATATATATATATATATATATAATGACTGCCTATCAAAAGAAATCACATGTGCGCGTGCATGTCTAAGGGCTATAAAGCTTGTGTGTGCATCTAGTGACTTTATAGTGTGCATGTGTGTGTATTGGCTCTGTAGTGAGTAACGGTTTTGCGACCTCTGGCCAGCCACCTACAGCCATGCTCTGATTGACCAAAGTTTGGGAGACAGTTCTCATTGTCTGCACCCGGCAGAGGTGCAGACCAGATCAGAAGCTGGGATCGCCCCCCATCAAACTGGCCAAGCCATTGGGTCACCTACTAGTGTCGGTCCCCTTGGTTCATGGCTGAGTTCCCAATTGGTTAGTCCACTGGGTGACTCTCCAATTAGGTGAGTTAGGCAGTCATGAGGCCCCAGTGAGCCTAATTAGAGAGTCACCACTGTTACAGGATGAGGATGTGAGAGATTGTTTTGTGTCCTCCCCATAGCAGGGCCTAAGAATTCTGCACTTACAGACATTTGGCTAGACTGATGATGTTGCCTCCTTGCAATCACCATGAGCCAAGCTTGCATTCAGGCATATAATGGTCTTTGGTCTTCACTTTTATCTGTGAACTACAAAGTCTAAGATCAGTTCAGAGGCACCAGCAACCTCAGCCTCAAGAACCCCTGTAGGCCCAGTGGCTATAGAAAAGTTTGTTTTCTACACATTGAGGTATTGAGTATGTGTGTATATATATATATATATATATATATATATATATATATATATAAATATATACATGTAGTCATGATGCCGTTCTTTAAAGAGTAATTTAGTCAACAATGGTATGAAGTTGTATCTCCTTCTGGGAAACCCTTGTGGTGTGGCACGTGAGAGATAAATGTATTTGGGGCAATATCTGAGAGACTTAGAAGCTGCTCTAAGCTGGTCTCTCTGGCTTCCTACCTGTCTGTATGATTTTGTCTTTCTGAAATCTTATACCTTTATTGACTATTGTATAGAGGATCGCAAGAAAGCAGAGATAGGCCTTTCTACCACATTGCACAAGATCACTAGTGATCTTGTGGTATCATCCCAAACCTCGACAAAGACATTGTTCCACTGTTCTTGGACCACTATCTATAAATCCAGAACTGCCTACACAGTAAATATTTCTCTCCATAGTGTCTCTCTCTTTCTAAAACACAGAGATTGTGTTTCCCTCTTTTTGCTTTCCACCCTACACCTGTACTTTTTTAGATTCATCCACGCAGTTGCACTCACCGTTACCCATCTCTCTCCCCAGCAGGGATTCTTTAGCTCCATACTCACCTCCATGACTCCTGAGCCACAGTTCTGGTGGATGCAGGCTGACAGCTCTGACTGTTAAACAGTATGATACTAAAGCGGCAGCCAAGCCCTGCAGGGGAAATCCCACATTGTGATTGCACAGAGGGAGGATAGGACGAATGGGCAAACTGAGAACATATTGGTACAATGAGGGAAGACGAACTGCAGGGTGTGGTGTGAGCTGTGTTGTTTGTGTGTCGCTTGTGTGAACAATCTGTGAATATATAGCCTGAGTGATATTAACAAATTGAAGAGCTATAACAATTTTTGCCAGACTATCAGAATAAATGGGAAATACAGTTTTTTGATTGGAAAGTACAGTTGCCGGTTTAAAAAATTCTAACAGGAGAACAACCATATCAACAGACACAACCACATTAGTTCAGTTTCAAAGACACACTCAGGGCATGTTAACAAAATAATCCAATCATTAGTGATTTGTTTTAGTAGAGAACAAATAGGATATCGGAAATAATCTTCGATACTATAGAAAGAAAGAACTATCTACATATATAAATATATAGAAATGCTTGCTGTGTGTAATAGTTTATGCATAGACAGTTGGTTTGTGTGTGTTTTTTCTATATTACTTTATCGTGTATCTAATTATTTGTTTATTTATGTATTTTCCTAGAAGCCCCCAGTGAGTCGTGGAGACCTCTTCCCCAAGTGAGTAAAGCATATTTAATATGATCTGTTAAAGAGCTGGCGGGAATACTTTGTGAACTGAATGTACACTGATCAGCCACAACATTAAAACTACTGACAGGTGAAGTAAATAACAATGATTATATTGTTACAATGGCACCTGTCAAAGGATGGGATGTATTAGGCAGTAAGTAAGCAGTCAGTTCTTATTATTTTATTATTTATATAGTGCCAGCAAATTCCGTAGCGCTGTACAATAGTACTTGAATTTCATTTGTTGGAAGTGGGGAAAATGGGCATGCGTAAAGATCTGAGTGACTTGACAAGGGCCAAATACTGATGGCTAGGTGACTGGGTTAGAGCATCTACATTACGGCAAGTCTTGTGGAGTATTCCTAGTATGTAATGGTTAGTACCTACCAAAAGTGGTGCAAGGAAGGACAACTGGTGTCAGGGTCATGGGTGCCCAAGGCTCATTGAGGCATGTGAGGAGCCAAGGCTAGCCCAATCACACAGAAGAGGTGCTCTAGCTCAAATTGCTGAAAAACTTAATGCTAGCCGTGATAGAAAGGTGTGAGTACACAAGTGCATCACATTTTGCTTTGTATGGGGGCTGCGTAGCTGCAGATCGGCCAGAGTGCCAAAACAATATATATATATAAATATATATACACACATTGTAGTAGCTTGCACTCCAAGAAGACTTTTGTAGTGCCCGGTGCTTGTTGTGGCAAAGGTAGATATGGGTGTAGAAACAATCGCACTCCTGGGACTTGGTTGAAGTAGTAAAATGTAGCTTTTATTTATTCCATATAAAATATCAATGTTTTATTTCTATATATATATAGATATAGATATATATATATATATATATGAGAGAGAGAGAGAGAGAGAGAGAGAGAGAGAGAGAAAAATGAAAAAATGAGAGCACTCACTGGATTTGACGCAAATTCTTTGTATTCAAATAGTGAACATACCAAATCCAGTGAGTGCTCTCATTTTTTCATTGTTTCTATATATATATATATAGATATATACAGAGAAGCACCCTGGTGTGTTTTTTGTAATTATCATTACATAATTTTTGGGCAGAGTGCCAGAATTTGTATATATATATATATATATATATATATATATATATATATATATATATATGATTGATCAGTATTGCTTCAGACCTAAGGAAGAGAGGAAAACTCTTGAAAGCTTGTCTTTGAAATATTATGTTAGTCCAATAAAAAAAGGTATCATTGCATACTGCAATACTCTGGTATTTTGGCATTTTATATATATATATATATACACACACACAATTTGTATTTGTGCATACTTTGGACATTCGGAGCTGCTCTCTCATTTTTTTTAAACATTTTTTAGAATCAATAATCTTTATTATGTTTTTTCTTTTTATAAATAGACATAAATACAAATATACAAGACTATGTATTGTAGTAATATCTTACATTGTCTGATAAAATTCTCGCATAGAAAAAAACAAACATTCAATGCCAGGTCATCAGTAATGCCAGGTCATCAGTATCGCTACTCTAATTCCCATCTATCCATTAAAACAAATAGCACACTGACCGCAGTCCACTCTTTCAAATACTTGGCGATGTTGTTAGACCCCAATCTATCTTTGGCCTCCACATCTAAACTTTATCCAAAACTAGGTGCCCTGTACAGAAACCAATCCTGCCTAAGTCCTACAGTAAAGGAAAAGATTGTACCGCAAATGCTGATGACAATTATTGATTATAGGGATGTAGTATATGCACCTGCACTGCAAACCCACTCGTTCTGTCAATTTGTGCTACAATGTAATTACAGGACCCACCACTGTGACATGCTAAAAGAACTAAACTGTCTGTGTGACGGTACAATCGTTTACTCCGTCAAGCATTCCCTTCTTCCCATAAAATAAAATCTCCAAGTAATCCATTGAGGAATAAATCGCTGGTATCGCAAAATAATCCACACATGAGCAAAAGCTTAATGCTGCAACAAGACTGATTTTTAATGACACACACTCTGCTTTTATGCAATTCTCCTTTGCAAGAGAGACGCCCACAGACAATTATGAATTACCCAATCACACACTGGTTACATCCCACACATCTCCTCCCCTTAGCCTGAGAGGTAACCCAATTAGCCGTACAGTTTAAAACATACTTTTTACCCAACTTTCATAACTCTAAAGCTATACATCCAATATTAATAAAAGTCACATATTATTAATCAGCACATTTCAAATACCAACATACCCAAAAATCATTCGAATCCATTCAGCCTTTCGGGAGATATATATAAGTCACCTCTGACCGACCGCAAGCACATTTTCATGCCCAAAAAGAGTTCCATAGAGTTGGGCTGTGCAGTCGGTCAACTTCACACAGAAAAATGTCTAAGTCCCATTTGAATGCACGAACGAGGGCGTTCGTGCAAATAGCCCATTCTAACAGTGTGTTTGAATTGTCAAACGTACTTTGATTCCAGCCGAAGCGTCGAAGTTCCTGAGAAGTTAAGGGTCAGCGGTGTTCGTGCAAATGCGTAGCCGATTTTAGTTCCATAGATTCAGTGGCACGCACCGCTGACCGCGTTCAACTAAATTAAAATGGCTGCCGCCACGTGTTCGGTTTTCGAATGGCAAGCAGTCCTCTCCAGGTACAAGTGGCGAGGTTAATTTCGCCACAGTCTGTCACTAGAATCCAGACACACCCTTCATCTTTCCAGCCTTGTGTTTAAGAGATTTTCTGGGAATCCTACCCTACCTGAGCAGATTGCTCTACCCGGCTGTTCCTACCTCCTATAACTTCCAATCCTGTACCAGCACTTTATTTAGTCTACCTCAATACAAAAAGAAAGCAGCCCGATCCTCCTTTTCCTACAGAGCACTACAATTATGGAACGACCTCCCGCACACTTTCTAGTCTTCCCCAGGCCTAAAATCCTTTCAGAGATCCCTCTCTACATATATTGAAACAGAATGCACCTGTCATTATATATTTCCTACCTGTTCTATGGTAAAGTTTGTATATATTGTGTATTAATATTGTTTTTGTATTTTATTGTACCTTATTGTATCAATGCAATGTTTTGTGAACCCAGGACATATTTGAAAACAAGAGAAATCTCAATGTATAATTCCTGGTAAAATATTTTATAAATAAATAATTTAACAAATTGAGAGGCACAATACAAATTTTATATGACTCTCAATCCAGTCTAATCTCACACTCTATAATCTATTCCCCAAAATAAATGTATCAAAACAATAGGTTTAATTATATTAACCCAGAAGGTTTGCAGTAGCTCACAATGCCCACATGTATCTTCTAATTTCTCCTTAGACTAAAATATAACATCTGGAGAGGAAATACGTTGTACACAGATAATACAATACAAATATCTATACACCCACTTGTTCCAACATGAAAATATATTTAAGTGTAACTGTCTCCACCATAGAGCAAATAAAACAGCTGCCCTGTATATATCCGTTTTAAAGGACTGTTTCCACATAACACCCAGGAGTCCACGCTGAATATACAAAATGACCACATATAGCTTTGTCACTCTTTTTGATCTCCTGGCCCATTTCTGTAGGCTTCCTTACCAAGTGCCTATTTTAAACCAAAGCTTTTAGATCTAGAGCCCTGGTTAGGTCCAACAGTAACTGTCATCTAGTGAGCACAGCATACTTGTGCTTTTAGCAGTACTCTGGTAATTCACAAAAGTTACATTGTCCTATGAATTATTTACCATAATTTGCTCTGGAATTTTTCTATCTAAAATCTAAACATAGTTCTTTTTTCCATTGCTCTAGAATTTAGGTTTTGTCCTCTGTGCACCAGGTTGTGTGTCATTGGAATTAGACCTCAGTCCCTACTATTTTATGACCGTGGCTGTTTAGCAGACATGCCTCACATGACAAATGGGTTCAATGGGTTGTATGTGACCCCCAAAGGATTTTTTGTTTGTTTGTTTCATGACTACTACGATCAATCATTAAAAGAGGCCAATAAATGTGAGTCCGAAGCACATTCATGAAATTATTTGTATTTATCGGGTTCGGCTGCTACACTATTGCCCTGCATTAAATCTAGTTAAAAATTTGATAAAAATATCAGCCGAAACCAGTCAATTTTCGACTGGATTTTCTCGACAGAATTTTATTGTTACCGTAGTTTGCAATATGTGTGGTGTTTGTGTATTTTGTACACAATATCAAAGCGCATTTGTTAAATTGATTGTTTTATATTTCTCCAGGGGAACAAACCCATTTGCAACTGTGAAGCTTCGCCCTACTGTGACCAACGATCGTTCTGCACCAATCATTCGATGAAGTCCTACATACTGCCAGCCTTGTGAGGGCTGAATCCCTACTAATCACTATTTTACTCAAGGTCCAATCAGGATCAACATAGAATAATACATCAAAAACCTAGTTATTCCACATGAGGTGTTTCCTGGCTGAAGATGGAGTTTACTGTAAATAAGTCCCTTCTTGAAGCTAATTACAATCCGATGTTTGTAAATAGTGTTCTCATACCACTTCTCTACTGGTCATTTCACTTTGAGAATTGAAACATGACATCTTACTGATTTGTTGGAAATAAAGCCTTTGTAAATACTTGATTTGAAAACTGATCAGATTAAGACAGTAGATGAAAGAGTTTTCAAAATAAACCAGTTTGCACAAAATTGATATGAATACCAATTGATTCTCTATAGTAGTAACTACGGCGATGTTATATTGTGCAGAGATTTTTTACCTGATTTCAAAAATATGCGTGTCATGGTACACACAAGATGGATTTAAATGAAAGTTAAAAACATTTCATTTGTGCATTGTGCTTGTAGAACTGCTAGTAAAAGTATAGATTATATTAATAATGCAATATAAATATTTGGCTCCTCCTTCACTTTTTAATCAGTTTTCGGTATAGGAGATTTGGAATGCACTTGACCTATGCCTGATATGAGAAATCACCAAATATTTTTTAAATGACTAGAAGAAGATTGATGAGCGATTGAGAGTGCAAAAGCCTAAGAATGATGTTCAATAACAAACTCATAAAACACTTCTATAACACATTAGACACAAAAACATAGCTGTGAATTGTGAGTTGTACTCTGTACATTGTATCACTTGGACAGCAAGGATCTCAAGGTAATGTTGTATGGTTGTAACCTCAATGGTGTTGTTGCAACTAGATCACAACAAAGCTTTTCACAAAAGCACACCGGATATCACACACTACTCTTTTCTTGACATATGAAACACATCAGAATGCATCAATAGAAGGATATGGAGAGCCCAACTGTACATCGGGGGTACACAAGAAATAATACTGGCTCTGTATCCAAGAAACAAACGTCCTTTAAATTGCACAAGGTGCTAAGGCACTTCTTCACTCAGTGGACTACAATACATAGAAATGTGTGTAAAAGGCCCGACATCTCAAACCCTTAGATAAGTATACATTAAGGTAAAGATCGATTGCCTTCAGAGTTAATAAATATCAGCTTTAATGGCCATCACACATTTCTGAAGATATTGAAAACATTTGTGGTTTGATAGTGTCTCCCTCATCATCACACCTCTTCTTTCAGTCCCCTTCCTTGTTTCTGTTAAGCTGTGTTTATGTTTTATACAGGTTCCTGGTGCACAAAGCAGAACTTTGCTCCCTACATAGATATTTTAAAAGGACACACACACTCAGTAGCTTCCAAACAGGGGTACCTGGGAGGATGCAATGTATTGGAGGTTACTACAGCAATAGAAAAATGACTTTATATTTAACATATTCTGAGTATGTCATGCATAGTTTTATAGGCAGACCCTAGTTTTGGAAATAAACTAAATAAAAATGGTTAACAGGAATGGGTGGAAACGTTAGGGGCAGGAGTCCGCAAACTTCCAGAATGTGGGATCTTTTTAAATAATGTATCTGAGATTGAGCTCAGTTCCTCTTGTGTCTGTCAGCATTATTTTGTTTCTCAATTGCTGTTGAGATTGACATTGTTGCTTCTCAATACATTTCAAAGCACTACAAAATATGTTTGGGCTCTAAAACTTAATTCATAGTCACCGATATTCTCTCCTTTTTAGGAATGATTGTAAAGTTTGCTATATGCGCAATAAATGCAATTGTTGCAATGATTTACTTGAATTTACATATGGGAGATAAAAGTTTTCATGATAAGAAAAGGGAGTTTTTCAATGTCTGGCTGAATGTGTGACGTTCTAACAGTGAGGTATTTGTGCAATACAGCTGTCATTGGAGAGGCAGGAAGGAAAGGTCATTGACACCAATATCAGGATTTTCAATGTTAGTTATAGATTTTACATTAAAGAGATAGAGGAGTGCTCAAATAAGAGCAAAGAGACGTAGGCAGAAAACAACCTGACTAGGTGAGGTTCCCTCTATCCCCACCAGCATGTCACCAAACAAAATATCAAGGGGTGATAGTTTAAAAAAAAAAATATAGATATATATATATAGTCCTCTAAGCATATTATATTGGATTATCTTTAGATATAACCCTATAAGCCCTTTTTCTGTGTTATATTTTTTTAGGGCTACCAGCCAATGCCAATGTTCTAAAGAACTCCACCTAAGACTGTGCTTCTTTCTTCTATAAATTTGATATTAAAGTGAGGATCATCACCTCGCTTTGATTTCTCACAAAGAGAATGCCAAATATTTATATTGCTATATATATATATATATATATTTTTTATATATATATATATATATATATATATGAATCCAAGGTCCCAGCAATCGATGCTCCCGGTCTTTCTCTGCGCCGGTGCTTTCTCTAACCAAATTATATACAATTCCAGTAGAAAGCACTCAGGAGTCTTTTTAAAGTGAATCACAACTGTTGCTTTATTGCGCAATAACAGGATTACACACCGTACAGGTTGACGTTTCAGTCTATAAAGACTTTTTTTCAAAACAATTATGTGTGTGAACTAAATGCTTTATATACGTGAATGCGGTAATCTTATTAGAGGGTGAAAGGTGACAACAAGTCTATGTGACTTCACTAATGACGTGGACACATTCAAAATACGTAGAAAATGTGATTAACCCTGTATATAACAGGTATGTGGAATATAAAAGAAGTAAAAATTGAAATAAAAGATATATGTACAAGTTTTTAAACAGTAACTAAAGGAGAAATAGACACAAAATGCCTATCATAATATCTGTAACATTTGTAAAATATGTAACAAGCATATAGTAGCTAGTGTAAATAAACACTGTAAATATACTTCTAACAAGACAATTGTATGATATGCATTAGCTTCAACCATGGAGAATCAACAAATATATTACAATGTTAAACAAAAATCTGCACACCAATCAAGTCTTATGACTTGACTGGTGTGCAGATTTTTGTTTTAACATTGTATTAATTATCCACAGACTTCAGGTGGAAGGGTTTTTCAATCACAATTTTTCCCCACCACAACCTGTTTTGGTTTTTGCTTCAAATATATACATATACACATATACACACACAGTGCCTTGCAAAAGTATTCACCCCCCTTGACTTTTTACCTATTTTGTTACATTACAGCCTTAAGTTCAATGTTTTATTAATCTGAATTTTATGTAATGGTTCAGAACACAATAGTCTAAGTTGGTGAAATGAAATGAGAAAAATATATACATAAAACTATTTTTTAGAAATAGAAAACAGAAAATTGGCACGTGCGTATGTCGTCAGTTATGAAGCCCATAAAAAGCTCTGGTGCAACCAATTACCTTCAGAAGTCACATAATAGTGAAATGATGGCCACCTGTGTGCAATCTAAGTGTCACATGATTTGTCATTACATATACACACCTTTTTTGAAAGGCCCCAGAGGCTGCACCACTTAAGCAAGAGGCACCACTAACCAAACACTGCCATGAAGACCAAGGAACTCTCCAAACAAGTAAGGGACAATGTTGTTGAGAAGTACAAGTCAGGGTTAGGTTATAAAAAATATCCAAATCTTTGATGAGCACCATCAAATCTCACATAACCAAATGGAAAGAACATGGCACAACAGCAAACCTGCCAAAAGACTGTCGCACACCAAAACTCACGGACCGGGCAAGGTGGGCATTAATCAGAGAGGCAGCACAGAGACCTAAGGTAACCCTGGAGGAGCTGCAGAGTTCCACAGCAGAGACTGGAGTATCTGTACATAGGACGACAATAAGCAGTACGCTCCATAGAGTTGGGCTTTATGGCAGAGTGGCCAGAAGAAAGCCATTATTTTCAGCAAAAAACAAAACGGCACGTTTTGAGTTTGTGAAAAGGCATGTGGGAGACTCCCAAAATGTATGGAGTCTGATGAGACTAAAATTTAACTTTTTGGCCATCAAAGATAACGCCATGACTGGCGCAAACCCAACACATCACATCACCATCCCCACAGTGAAACATGGTGGTGGCAGCATAATGCTGTGGGGATGTTTTTCAGCAGCCGGGACTGGGAAACTGGTCAGAGTTGAGGGAAAGATGGATGGTGCTAAATACAAGGATATTCTTGAGCAAAACCTGTACCACTCTGTGCGTGATTTGAGGCTAGGATGGAGGTTCACCTTCCAGCAGTACAATGACCACAAACACACTGCTAAAGCAACACTTGAGTGGTTTAAGGGGAAACATGTAAATGTGTTGGAATGGCCTAGTCAAAGCCCAGACCTCAATCCACTAGAAATGGGCAAAAATCCCAGTGAATAGTTATGCACATTGACTTTTTCTGTTATTTTGTCCTATTTGTTGTTTGCTTCACAATAAAAAAAAGTAAAAAAAAAAAAAATCTTGAAAGTTGTGGGCGTGTTCTGTAAATTAAATGATGCAAATCCTCAAACAATCCATGCTAATTCCAGGTTGTGAGGCAACAAAACACGAAAAATGCCAAGGGGGTGAATACTTTTGCATACTTTTCAACTGTGTATGTGTGTGTGTGTGTGCATGTATATATATATATATATATATGAATATATATATACACATATATACACACACACACACACACACACACAATATCTCTCTCTCTCTCTCTCTCTCTCTCTCTCTCTCTCTCTCTCTCTCTCTCTCTCTCTCTCTCTCTCTCTCTCTCTCTGTCTCTCTCTCTCTCTCTCACTTTTCTTGGTGCAACTACCATCCCTTGACAAGTGCAATTTAAAGAGGTGTGTCATACAGTCAGCAAAAATAGAACTACGTGGGTTGAAAAGTATATAATGTAGAGGTTTGCTTCACACGACTTAGAATATATGGATCAAAATAAGTATAGTGTGAGTTTTCCTATTATTCAAAAAATTATATGGATAAGGTAAATATAGTTAGTAAAAGTACTTTATTAGATAAAATACACAGACTAAAAAGAGAACACACTGTAAAGAAATCAGGAAAACTATATGGGTATACAGGCATTATGACCATGAAATATAGCAATAAATGACAGTATCATACGAAAAAGTCACAGAATTAAAAAACAAAACAAAACACTTAACAAGACACTGTAGGCACTATAAACATTTCATTGCTTTGCACTAGTTATAGTGTCTGGAGTCCACTGGCACTGTCCCTCTGTTTAGTGTTGAACCATTTTCCAGCAGTTTAACATTGAATAAGGGTCCCTGGCTTCCCATAAACACATCCTCCCTGCGGATATGGATATGGGAAAGATTTGGGGATTCCAAAGCAGCCCTGGAAAAAAATCTATGCCAGCCCCATAAGTAATTGCGCCATATACTGTCGCATGTAATATGTAAGGCTATGTCTTGCCACCCTAGATGATTGATATTTATATATATATATATATATATATATATATATATATATATTTTGCTTTTTCCAATATAAAATATTGGTCCTTTCACAGTAAAATTTTTAAGTATACAGTAAGCATACTCACATGCAGACACAGACAATCTCACTGACACAAGCTGATTGATACACAGCATCATAGACAAACAATCTCACTGATATACATAAGGTCATTGACATAAAAACACAAGCTCACTCAGTAGCAGACACACACACACACAAGCACACAAGCAAGCCTACTCACAGCTTATGGGTCAAAGAAATAGGAAGCCCCCTAATTAGATTCTATATACATAAAACATAACTTTTAATAATTATAGTAGTAAAATACTCATAAGAAAGGAACACAGAAAACAAAATAATGTATAAAAAAATACTAGATAGGTGAGTGAAGGAAATAAAAGTATCTCCTGAATGGGATATATACCCTGGTGATAAAGTTGCTAGAATGAATTTAATCTGAAAGAAAATTGGGGTCCCAATGCAGTACTCATACCCTAGTTATAAATATTCATAATTACAGTAGTGGCATCTATAGAGGTGGATAGATAATACCCCTCACAAACAGCCACTAAAAGTCAGTTCAGTAGTGCCGAAACACGTGTCTGCTCATGTAATTTGGTTTGTCAACCACTGATAAAGTTTAAACCACTGATGTAGCAAATTAATTGATAAATAATGATGAGTAAAGAAAATATTTACAATCTCTATGAACATTATGTACATGTATTAAAAATATAATTATAATAATAAAGCGTTCAGTAGCGCCGAAACACGTGTCAGGCAATAGGTAGTGAGACTAGATAGGTGCCGGTACGCATACCGTTCTAGTTTTTGATAGTTAGTCAGATAGAAGTTTTTCACTTCAGCTGCTCTCACTCTGTTATTCCACCGAGGGTTGTGAGCGATTGGGATAAGAGGGGGTTTGTTATTTGTCATTTATTTCTGGCAATTGTTACCTGATTTAATAGTAGGGGATACTTTATTTCTTGTTCCCCACAATGTGCCTAAATTCTAGCTGAGCGAGGTTTCATAATTGATACAGTGGATACAATGTATCATTCTATCAGTGATTATACACCAGCTGACTAGTACAGCTTATTCATTAAGTAGCAGACTTTGCTCTTTAGTTTTCTTTGAACTTGTAACAATATCCCCTGCCTATGTGCTGCATCATCTGGCTACTTTAGCCTTATAGGCTGAGTAAAAACACACATATACACACACACACACACATACCATGACAGACACACACCATGACACAGACAGACCATGACAAAGACAGAAACACGCACACACCGTGACACAGACACACCATGACACAGACAGACACAAACACACCATGACAGACACACACACATACCATGAGAGACACCATGACGTCATATTCCGGCCCCGGTCTCATTAAGCGGCATGCTGGGGAGGGGGAGCAGAGACAGAACAGCCAGCTCCCCCTGCGGCCGCCAAAAGAGCTCCCTCTGCGGCCGCAAGAAGAGCCAGTTGTCTGCCCGGCCCCAGGTGCCGACGGCCCACCGGAAAACTTACCGGTATCCCGGTGGGCCAGTCCGGCTCTGGCAGTCACATCTGCCCATTGCTAGTCAGGCTAATGCTTCCTCACAGCACAGGGGGGATGATCTGCGGGGGTACTAGTTTAGCTTTAAAACAGTAACAGGGGTTTAACACTGAATACAAGGATGACACAAGAGGACTCCAGACACAGCAGCCAGTTCATTAAGATGAAGCAGTTACAGTGCTTACAGTGTCCATTTAAGGGGCACTCCAAGCAACATAAACACCTTTATGTTGCATTGAGATCCCCTGTCGCTGTCCCCCTGCACATAAAATAGAAATAACATCTGCATATATTTAAACACACACACACTCACTGACAGACACATACACACACTGACAGACACACGCAAACAAACACACACACTCACTGACAGACAGACACACAGGCAGGGCACATTCACTGACAAACACACACACACTGAAATTCATACTCACACAATTTTATTTTTCCCCCAAAACTTTTGTGAGAGCTGGTGTGGGTCCACTCCCTGGGGTCCTGTGTGGGGCAGTTCCTCACTCCTTCCGCCTACTGTTTAGTATGCCGGGGCCGGAATGACATCGTATTCCAGCTCCCAGCATCACAGAGGTCGAGCGAGGGAGGAGTGAGGAGCTGCAAGAACAGCCTTCTTTGCCGCCCACACTGCTGCCACCTGTCTCCTGTCCTCTCCCTCTGGCATTTATTGGCAGAGTAGGCACCAGCAATCCAGGTAAGCAGGGGCCTACACTGCCTTACCTCCTGGGCCCCCAGTAAGCAGTGCAGTTAGTATGCTTATCTCCCATGTTACAATTAGCGTAGGATGCAGAGATATTGGGGCACTGTGATGTAGTGGTGGGCTTAACACAATATGGCTATATGGTGTAACCAAATCCCCATATTTCTTTGTTAAGATGGGTAATTTTAAAGAACATTGTAAGATTTAAAACTGTATTTGTTTGTTGTTGTGTGTATGCACTGTTCCTTAATCTGTATTGTTTTATATATTTTATATATACAATCCTGAAAAAGGGAACAAAGACAGAAAGAGGGTAAGATATACCAAATGGGGCAAAAGGACACACAGGCCTACACAAGCAAAGTCTCATTGCCTGTAATACAAAAACATAACATTTGTAAAACTTTATCCTTTTTTTTTTTCTTTATCGTCATTTTATCACACATTTTTCATGCGTTGTCTATACAATACATTATAAAACAACAGATCAGCTCCAGTACTTTGTCACAGCAGAGAACAGTAGCTATAGTTGTCATGCACATTCATGTACTTTTTTTTTTTTTATTGAATAGGTCCACAGCATTCATGTCACCTCTTCCCCCATGATTAAGTGGTCTGGTGCTATTAGCGTCTCTTTAATATTTTAATGTCACTTACCCTTTTAAATAGAAGGGTGAATATTGCCCTCAGCCCTCCTTCTCTCACACTCTGCATCACCATTGTTGACCAAACCTTCTGCCGAACCTGCACAGCAATTATTGGCTAAGGACACTGCCAAAAATGAGAAGGGGACAGGTTGTGTGTGCTGGAGGAAAACCTAATCTTTTGTGGAACCACTCCACCAAAATGGTTTGACAAAGTAAAAAAAAAAAAATATGGTGAATAAAACCATAACCACTGCGATGGTTATGCTTAAACTTTCACGAATTTTTTTTTTTTTAGTACAAAATTGCCGTTCAGTATGCACTGTCTATTCACATTTCAAATAAGTGTTACAGTAAATTTATTTTAAATTAGAACCGTTGTCATGCCATTAAAAATAAGATGTCTTAAAATGGAATGTTTGCCTCTGATAACACATCTGATAAAATGGCTACCAAGAGATAATAGGATTATTTAAAAAAAAAAAAATAGGGGGCGGGGCCTGACCGCCGAGCTGGATGGACGTGGGGCACCTCAGCTCCTCCATGAAATCCAAAATCCTAGCTTAAAAATATTTCCTCTCCCCTGAAAAACCACCCAGCTGCAACTAGAAGGCAAAGGGGACCTGTGCACAACTCTCGGTGTACTTACCGGCCTCCGTCCTAGCGGCGATGAAAACTGCTGGGCGGCTGGGACTGCAGCCTGTCGTGAGGCTCTGGCGGGAGATGCGGCCGGTCTCCCGTGCTTAGTCCGGCGGGACCTCCCATGCGCTTACAGAGGGCCCCGTTCTCCCCCCCCGTGGGCCGGGGGGGTTATCCCGGACCCCACCGGGGAGGCAGTGACCACCCACGACTCCTGAGCGGCGAACCGAGCAGCCAGAGATCGCATGGTGAAAACCAAAATGGCCGCCGCGTCCATCACAAGCTGGAGAATAATGGCGGCAGCCATGGAGCAACGAACCGAAAGACGCCTACCAGACGACTCTAAGGAGCGCACAACCAGCCTGCACACACAACTCATGCCAGCATTGGTGAAGGCAACATCTCACATGGTAACCGGCAGGGACTCACTTGGGACTATAACCCTAAATAAGCGAGGAGCGCCAGACAAGAGACACAAGCTCCCTTATTATACCTGAGTATACTATGTCATACTGTCATGCCTAGAACTAGTGCAATTGCGCCTAGCCGGTAGACCCACATGTACATCAACAAAGTTATTAAGCATACCTGCCTGTTTAACCGGCTAACTCAGAGACTCGCTGCTCCCTGGTGGTCAAAAAGCTAAATTTAAGCAATGAAGAAATCTAAATCATATATTACGTCTAGATATACTACGAAGCTACTTGTTAATCAAAGTATTATATAAAAAATGTGCACGTTACTCAATAACCTTAAATGTTATGTTTGAAAAGTTGCTAGAGGACTGCTGTTGGGGTACCTTGAGCCAAAGTGTAACTGTCTTTATGCACTGCAAAAAAATAAAATTAAAAAATAAATAAAAATATATCTCTTAACAGTGACTGTATAGGACTAGATTTACTATTTTGGGTAAACATTTCTTATTATTTAATATTTAGAAAAATATGTTGCTTTTAGATTTTATTTTTTTTAAATGCATTGACACATTTTAAAAAAAAATACTTTAGAAGTTTACAAAAATCTTCTATTTCAATCATTTGAAAGCTTATTGAAAAATATTAAATTAAGGCTTTAGTTTAAGAGAACTTAAATGAAAAGTCCAAGCATAATAACCACTATGGTGCACAGAGTGTTCCTTTCAATAAAATAGTTTAATTTTTTAGTGGAAAATTAATTATTAATTATCAGATTCTCTATAAAATGGCACTCTCTAACTGCAGTACCTTTAATGCCACACCTCGTAAAAATCTGTGGTATAGCGGAAGGTCTTACAATTACACAATCCATAAGGAAGAAGACTAAATGTAAAAAGAAATCACTTCCTCATACTGAGGATCTCAGACAAATACTGCTTTGTACGGGGAAGTAATTCATGTAAAGGTTAGTTCCTTCCCCACTGAGATAAGTATCATTTTATTCATCAGGAAAATATGACGATTTTCTTACACTGGGAATTAGTGACATAGATCACTTCCTGCTGGCAATCTTAAATAAGTTGTACTGGTATTTTTGTGGTTTCTGGCAATTAATGCCGCACGTTTATTCACCTGTTTGTTTGACCCATTGTAAAGCAATGGTTTAAATAGGATTGTAAATACTGTGCGTCAAAACATTTTTATTTAGTTTGAACTGTCCTTATGAACTCAGGTTCCTTTCATGCAGCACTAAAACACGTAAAGCCACGAACAGTCACACATAAAACCACACAAACCAACTCACAGTAAAAAAACAAAGATGCACTAACAGTCACAGGATACTTCTCAGGTCCACTCTGGTCAAACAATACAACACACGTACCCACTGACTTGCATCCTGGAAAATACACAGACCCACAGTGAAATACACAGACCCACAGTAAAACATGCAGACCCCCTATAAGTTATATAGCAAATATACAGAAACACTCATAGTCAGTATAAAACATGTAGTAAACCAGGGAGTGAGGTTACTGAAAGCCAATTGGGTTCGGGGGATGAGGTCTAAGGATTCAGCAGAATGGCTTAACTGCAGGATAAGGAGAGACAAAAGCAATGCCATGTGTCAAGTACGCAAGTCTTAAGTTACAAGTCTTAGAGATTATATCTTCCAATGTTTTAAAAAATGCACAAAGTGGAATAAATTAGCTTGGGAGGGGAGTTAGAATGGGAAAAGTGTACAAAAAAAAAAAAGGAGAACTATGTCCATAAGTGGCAGGAAGAATACAGAAAGTGTGAATTAATGAAGGAGAGAAAGATGAAGAAAAGAAAACATGAAAAGGAAAGAATGGAGAGTGGAAAGTGTGACCAGGTCCATGAGGGAGTAAAGAGAATGCATAGTAGAAGTGGCTACAGATTGAGGTATCCATGGGCAAATGAGAGACTTCTTAATGCAATAGCTGTGGAGGGTGGGCCTAACATCGTTACCATATATGAGTAAAATCCACAATAGGAAAACTGCTTTGTTTTTTGCATTAAACATAGTTTTACTTCAACCCATTAAGGAACACTGTAATTGTCCTAGTTCTGAACCAAAGCATAACATAGAATTTGCGCTGTCTTTTTCCCACCATAGAGTAATGGTTTCTTATACATATATCATATTGATATACATATAAATACTTGTAAATACTCACAAAAACATAACATACAGGGATATAATTTCTAATTAGTGGGGTAATAGCTGCTTGATCCAAGGGGACATCTGACTGCTGTTTTGGGGTCAAGAAGGAATTTTTTCCTAGTTTGTGGCAAAATTGGAAGAGCTTCAGACCAGGTTTTTTGCCTTCTTTTGGATCAACAGCAACAACATTTGTGAGGAAGGCTGAACTTGATGGACGCAGGTCTCTTTTCAGCTATGTAACTATGTAACTATGTAATATACCAGCCGAGGGATTTCCCAGCCAAAATTATACTAAAGCTAAAAAGGTGGTCTGTGACCCCCACCTAGTGGCCTTTTGCTGCAGGACAGGGAGATCTCCTTTTAATGCCACTGCCCTACATGCTGTATCTGTATATGTCCCACGCCATCCTAGCAGGGTTAAAGCACACTCTGTGGAGGATGGCATGAAATGGGCCAACATCATTACGGGGTTAAGTAGCAGAATAGCTGGTAGTTTTTATCATATATGGAGCATGTAGCCAGATTAAATTATTTATTATATATTTGAAAAGAGAAGTGGTGGAAAGCTACAGCCTGTTTTAAGATACTGCCAGATTGAAGACATGCAGGTAATATGTATATGTGTACACCTACACTGATCAGCCACAACATTAAAACCACCTACCTAATAACATCTAGGTCCCCCTCGTTCTGCCAAAGCAGAGCTGATGCATTGAGGCATGAACTCTGTGATGGAACACTGGTACGCTGTCACTTGGACATCAAGGGCTCCTTTGTTTGGGTGAGCTCTGGTGGGGAGCGGCCATTTAGACTTAGACCTAGCCACAACATGGAGAGACAAGATGGCGCCGAATCAGAGACTGTGTGACCACGTGGGTGATGGTTGGGACTTTCCTCTTTGTGACTCATGGAGCTGAGTCACCTATTGTTGACTGTGTGTTAATCCCTTTACCTAATGCATAATGTTTTCCTGTGTATGCAAAGTAGGTGTTATGTGATGGCTGTTTGCTTAGGCCCAGTTTGATTGGTTGCTGTTCCAAACCTTTGTGTGTTTACTAATGAGTTTAGTCGCAAGCTGTGTGTGTCTGCTGTTCTTGGGGGAGAGGTGTTAGCTGACTGAGTCTTTGTGAACGGGCTGACATCTGTGGTTTGGCGGTGGGAAGAAGCTGTTTGGATGGGTGTGCTCAGTTGGGGCACAGGGGAACAGTCACAAACTCTGCAAGACCTCTGAATGTGTCTGGTTGTATCTGGCACAAAGACAATAGCAGCAGTTCCTTTAAGTCCTGCAAGTTGCAAGGTGGGACCTCCATGAATCGGATTTATTGTTCATGCACATCCCACAAATGCTTAAATCGGATTAAGATCTGTGGAATTTGGAGGCAGAGGCAAAGGAAACACCTTGATATCTTTGTCATGTTCCTCATAACATTCCTGAACAATTTTTGCAGTGTGGCAGGGTGCATTATCCTGCTGAAAGAGGCCAATGCCATCAGGGAACACCATTGTCATGAAGAAGTGTACATGGTCTGTAACAATCTTTAGTTAGCAGAGCACTAGTCCTGACAACGACTCTTCCTTTGCTGGATCTGTGAAGACAGGAACTCAGGAACACGGCACTGAAATGTGAATAGGTCTATCCCTCCCTAGTAACTGGAAGACACACTGTTCTAAGAGTACAACTCTTTTTAATGAGCCAAATTTGGCCCTTTATGCACAAACCCCAGCATGGAGTCTCCATTGTATTCAATAAAAGCTCCTCCCAGGAATATCTGTGCCTTGGAGATAAAAGACCGGTAAGCTAATTATCTCTCAGGAACAAAGAGCCCAACACAAAAATATAACATAACATAAAAGTACCCCAAAACATAATTCAAACATACAATAACCCCACATATTACGTGCCCCAATAGCCCTGATCTGAGTGCCCAAGTTGTTCAAATAGTGCTTAGATCCATGCATTGTAGGGGAAACGCCACCTTGTTAAAGTTCTGACCGGCCGCACATCTGGTCCTATGCCCAAAATAGTTCCATGGCGTTTTGTTCTTTTGCTGGTCAACTTTTGGGAGCTCCTATCTCCGAAATACGGGGTGCTCCATCTGGCTCTCAGGTAGTGTTTGTTCCCCTTAATCTCAGGCACCTTCCCTCCAAAAAGCCTTCTCTTGGTGGGTTGCAAAGTGGTTCAAAATCCTGGACCAAGTTGTCCGGGAACCGCACGGTCACCTCATGCCGAAAACAGTTCCATAACATTTGTGGCTAAGTACCGCTGAGGTGACCAAGCAACCTTCTACCACTGCTCCATGGTCCAGTTCTGATGCTCACATCCCCATTAAAAGCGCTTTTGGTGGTAGACAGGGGTCAACACGGACACTCTGACTGGTCTGTGGCTAAGCAGCCCCATACGCCAGCCCCTGACCAGCAGTAAGTATTACAGCAATTTGAGCTATAGTAGAGGTTCTGTATGATCGGACCAGATGGGCTAACCTTCGCTCCTTATGTGCATCAATGAGGCTTGGGTGCCCATGAACCTGACACTTATTCAACAGTTGCCCTACCTTGCACCACTTTTAGTAGGTACTAACCACTGCATACTGGGAACACCCCACAAGATTTGCCATTTTTTAGAAGCTCTCATCCAGTTGTCTAGCATTAAACTACTTGGCCCTAGTATAAGTCACTATTTTAACTTCCTTTTTTTGACTGCTTGCAAAAACATGAAATTCAAGAATTGGTTGTTCACTTGCTGCCTAATATATCCCACTTCTTTACAGATCTAATTGTAATGATATAATAAATTCTTTAGTCTCATAAACAAAACTTTCATCAGGACAGACAACAGTAACTATTTATACCTCGTAACAAAAAGCAAGTGTACAAAACCCCCTTGGTGAGCAGCCAAATT